GTGTTGAGCTTTTTTTTATCACAGATTTGTTTAATATTTATGTTATCCTCATTCCATTATAAGAAAATAGAATGAGTTTACATTTTTTGTTTTAGAATATCATTATTTTAAATTTGTATATTGATTATATTGAAATTAATTTTTTTAGAGAGAACAAAATATATATTAAGTTGATTAATTTTAAATTTGTTTATAGCTAACTTTGCTATTTTTTATTAATTGAAATTATTTTTTTGAAAGAATAAAGCTTATTTTTTGCTTTATTTGAAATTACTTTTTTAGAAAAAACAACATATATATTTCAAATCAATTTTTTCAGAAAGAAGAAAATAAACATTATATATTTCAAATCAACACAATTAACATAAACATTAAAAAAACATTTTAAAATAAATTCAAAGGTTAAATAAGATTATATTCAGGTCATTCATTTAGTAGCTTGAGTAAAGACAAGCTCTTGAACATATGCTTGCGCAAAATGATACTGATTTAAACAAAATAGTCATAAGCTCCTCTTCATCATTGCATTGCTGCTAAGGATGCAAACAAACAAAGCGTTTGACGAGCTACTAGTGGCTCAGCTTGATTATAACTTATTAGTGATGTTTGATTAAATAATCAAATAAGCTAGAATATTTTTTTTAATTACTTGATAGTTAAATAAACAAGCTTGACCAACTCTATGTTCTACTCATTTATGTTCATGAACAATATTGTTTAAAACTCGTAAGCAAGCTCGATATGAAGCTCAATAAGAAGCTTGCTAAGAAGCTCAATTCATGTTCAATATAAAGATTATGAACAAGCTAGCTAAAAAACTTGATCAATCTTTGATATGGGGACGATTAAGTCTAGTTATGAAAATGATGAATAATCAAATATAAATATTTTATATTTATTATAATTTAATAATATAATAATCATTAATTAATAAATTTTAAAAATAATTAAACATTATAGCATACACTAATTAAAATAAAACATAAATATCTACTAAATTAATATTACATATCTTAATTATAACTATTTCTATTCATAAATATCTATTTATTTGGTATATTTTCACATAATTTTTTAATTTATTATGATAAAAAAATATTTAATAAAAAATTAATTTCATTTTTCATGTTATAATCTTTCATTACAATGAATTTGTTCAAGAATAAGAGCTATTTATTCATGTTTTCTAGATTGTTTATTTAAAATGTTCCTGAACAAGCTTGTTTATAAGAAGAATTATTTTATAAGCTCATTTATCTGTGAACGGTAACTTGAAAACACTCGCTAGATATGTTCGTGAATGAGCTCATTCTGAAGCTCGAAAACATCAATAAATATATTCGTGAATAGGTTCTATGGTTATTATTTTTTAATAAGCTAGATAAGGCTCGTTTATTAAGCTAATGAACAATTAGAAAGTAAAGTTAGTTCATAGCTCGATAAGTCTCGTTTGTTTGAAACTCGATGTTAAATTACGAGATTTTGAGAGGGAAAAGACCTTTTTATCATATAAAACTATCCTTATTTATAGATCTATACAAGATATCTTAATAAAAAAATAAATGATTATAGAATAATGCATAATTGTCCTAATATAAATGCTTCTCCGCGTTAACCTAGTAATTGGAAGAGTTGTGTGAAGGATCTTCTTGTAGTGACTAATCTCACTGTTATTTTAGGGATTCATCGTTGAAAACCAATCACGTAGGCATCGTTAGATTAAATTGAATGTTTTACGATCTTAATTCCTTATGTGATTTAGCCTAAGCTCATTTTACCGCTCTTAACGTTTTATCTCGTCGTTCAAATCATCATAAAGACATATTTATTTGTTCTCTCTAAAATTAAGCGTGCAAATTCATTAAGTATATCATCCATGCATTATGTTTCACATCAGGAAGACATCATTTATTTTGATCCTATTCTTATACAAAGAAAGACAAGGAAACATCAAAGTCAATTGTTCGCATTAGTATTGGACCTATTGGTTGAAGGTTGAGGAACCTACTACTATAGTGTCAACTTGCATGCAGCATTTTATTTGATTAATCAATAGTATCCAACAAAATAAATGACCAGCAATACATGTCGGTACAACAATAGGACAAAAAAGTCGAAGGAAGTTAGATGGCATTGTCATAAATTACTTTAGAATTTCAATAGCTCCCCCCTCTTTTCCTCTCCATCGGACTAAGAGATCCAAAAAAGATTGAGGTTCCCGGATAAAGGTCATTGAATTTCCAATCCTAGGCTAAATATTGATGTAAGCTAAACTCATGACACTTTTGTGCACACAGATTCTAAATCATTGAGTTTCCAAACAGAGCCTAAAGCTTAATGTAAGCACTGTCCTCACTTCTAAGTGCAGAAAGGGCTAGTGTAGATCAGGGCCATGGCAATGCATTTGTTTATTTAATGGAATGGTGGCTAACAATCGGAATCCATCCAAGGACCTATACTTCTTGAAAGGACAAGAGGCTAGCATTGGTTGAAGCCACACAGAAATCTCACCTTCTTGAGAAAACAAGAAGCTACCGTAGGCCAAGCCAAACTAACACCTCTGCTTCTTAACAAAGAGGATTGCATAGGATGAAGCCATACAACAATCTCTACTTCTTAATCATAGAGGAGGTCGGTGTAAGTTGAAGACAAGACACAACCATTACTTCATGATTGGGGTGGAAGCATATTTCTATTTCTAGACTAAAACAAAGCTGATGTAGACCGAAGAAATGCCATCTCATCACTGAAAGCAGAATACTAGGACGTTTCAAGCAAAAATTTGGTTTCTTGGATAATAACCAATTATAAGAGGTATCTTAAATCGTCATATTTTCTCACAAGTGCCCTAGCATGCCATACGTGGCACTTCATACAAATTGTGCTAATGAGGCCCTATAGAAACTGTCCATTAGGTAATAGAACTTCAAAAGACAACATAACTCAAATTTTAGTTGTCGTATGAAAGAAGTCTAATAGTACGTTTGCAGACAGATAAATTCAATCCAGACATCATATGGCATCCATATAACCATTGTTTTATATGCCTCTCAAATGCCATCTCACTTCACTTTCCATCCATACTATTCAAAATTTCCTATTATTGACTATGCTTCTTTTCAATTTTTAATGGTCAAGGACTAGATTCAATTCTTCAAGTACAGGCACATGTATAGTTCCCAGACGTGCCTCGGCGATCATACCCTTCAATTGTTAGTCTTTAAGGATAACACAAGATTCAAACATCTAGATCCCATAAATCATTAATATTAGAAATATCTTCTAGACTTGATCATCATTTAAGCTTGGAAAATCTACCGAGCGCCTTTTTTTTTTTAAATATAACAATTTCCAAAAGTATAAACATAAATTCCATAGATCCTTTGCTAGTGGACTAACTTAAAAGAAGCTTTTATTTGCCTGCTAACGTAATCAAAGACAAATCTGGCTAGGCTATTTATTTTTACTAAATTCAGGGCAAGTCATAGAACAAGCATAAAACTTAATCCAAGATTTGAAACTTGCGGCACGTTGAAGCAATTCACTAATTTGTCGAGCTCCAATTTTTTTAGCCTAAACTTAATTCCTTAATATCTGTTGTCTCCAAACTCCAGCCCTGCTCAACCACTTTTCTCCACTTTTCAAGCCCTAGTCAAACATTTTTTATCCTTATGTCTCCTACCATTAACCATTATCAAATAGTATCACCCTAATGTCTCTACCTCCCGCCCATTCAACCACTTTAGACCTTCAAGTTATTATTCACCATGCAACCCAAATAGCATTTTCCTCCAACATGAGACATGAATTAGTCCACAAGCTTTGGTGCTCAGCATCATCAATGACAATCTCCTACCAAGCCCAACGGTCGCAAGATAAATCCTTAACAATGGGGGTGAGGGGAACCAAATTCTTGATGTTGGCGGAAGTTGTGTACTTGAGCAAGATGATTCCTTGTGTCATGTAAGATGCATACTAACAAATTATTTGTGGTGTTGCTTGGAAAAAAAACCCTCACAGACACTTTCCAAGCTAGCCCAAAAGAAGGGCAGGCATTTTTAATTTGCTCAAAAAAGGACATTTAGAGTTTGTTTTGTGGTGAGGGAAACTAGTGCCAGAAAATGAACTTTTTATTATATAGGTAGGTGTTAGTGCACACAGCCAGTGCACAACGCCTGCCCTACATAACGCAGACCAAACAAATCCTTAACCTGTTTGTTCAAAAATTAGGTGCTCTAAAAACTACTCGTTCAAAGCCCAGTCACATCCATGATGAATGTGCCCGAACAACCTAAAATATGAACATTAAGTACCAATTAAGCAAGCACTTGAGTAGAATAGAAGGGGAAAAAATTCATTAACAATTAGAATCACCAATATAATAAAAAAAATTTTAACACTTAATGGAACAACCTACTTCACTATCCATCTGCAGATATTTCAGAGATACATTGGCTGCACCTTATTGACCACTGTCCAGCCCCAAATGAGCAATTAAGTTCCCAATTGAAACCAAGATGGGTTAGAATTGAAGTGCAACAAAGCATAAAAGTTAAGTTGGGTTATCAATTTAAAAAAATTACATAATGTAATTTGAATTCATTCTGTTCAGTTAAATTTGGTCAGTCACGATTTTATTTGGATATCTCATGATTTTATTTGGTTTGTTCGAATAATAGGCCTTACATGATTGGGTACAACTTAAGCAATCAGTTATATTAAGACTAAAGCCAGCCTGAGGTTTGATAATATAAACCTTCTTCAGTTTGCGCAAGATCCAAACCATGCTGGTGCCAATTTGGCTAAGCACCCACCACAAAGACCATAAAATAAACTGAAATTTTTTTTTTTTTCAGCTTTATACTGCTCTCCATCACACCCCTACCTGCTTGCCCCCCTCAATAAATAGATACTCTTTCATCTATTAGATAATAAAAGCAAGATGAACATAAAAATATCTATTCCTTAAAGCAATGAAGGGAAAAACATAAACAAATTACCTCACAGACAGTGAAAAAGGCAGGAGAGTCCAGGGAGAAACCAAGTTTCACCAGAGCCTGTCAAAGATGTGCCAAATTTACCCGCATTTAAGTTTACCATAAAATAGAAAAAAAAAAAAAAACCTTTCATGGCGACATAATATAAAGTCAAAAGATCCATGCAATAGAAGGAATAAATTTGATAAGGTCGGCATCCAAGATAAAGATTAATACTATAGAACTTTACATTTCTCAGAAATTGCAAGTAAACGCCATCAACAGCTTTCATCTTTCTGATGAACATGCTAAAATAATTCCTACTTTTGCATGATGCATATTTGCTCAAGAAAAATGGCACGTCCGCCTAAATCCCGCATTACAAACATAGGATTACACTCTCCTTAAGGCAGATAGTAGTTAACCAAATTTCTTCTGAGCATGGTATCAGGGTTTATTTAGATATAAGTCTGTACTTCCTATGAGTGCAAGCCCTCATAGTTAATACACCTCTTACAGCGTAAAAGAGAAATCTCAATTAAGAATGAATAATTTTAGGTGTTTTAGTCTCAGTTGTAGGGGAAATGGAGATAAACCCGATCAAGATCTCATGGTTTCATCGTGCAGGGAATACCGTAGATTTCAGTTAACCAATATTAGTGATCGTTGATCATAATGTCCAGATAATCTGATTAGCAGTCATGGATTGCCTCTTCTCAGAGATCCGGAGTAAATTAAGGTGGTTAAGGTAGATTGTAATAGAGGTTTGGGGTTTAAAACTGTTAGAATACTTAGTAGTTAATTTAGTTTGGAATTTATGACTTCATTTAAAAGTCACCCGGTTAATTGAATTGGTTTAGGGCTTACGACTTCCATTAGAAGTAGCCCAATTGTTTTAGAAATTGGTCTTACGGCTTTTATTGAAAGTAGCCTGACTATTTTAGAAATGGGTCTTACGGCTTTCATTGAAAGTTGCCCGACTATTTTAGAAATGGGTCTTACGTCTTTCATTGAAAGTTGTCCTATCGTTTTAGAAATGGGTCTTACAGCTTTTATTGAAAGTAGCCCGATTGTTTTAAAAATGGGTCTTATAGTTTTAATTAAAAGTTGTCCGTATGTTTAGTTTTAGTTTGGGGCTTACGGCTTTGTTTAGAAGTTGCCCGGAGGTTTGAATTTGGGTTGGGACTTACGACTTTCATTGAAAGCTGCCCGTAAGTTTAGTTGTTAGTACTACTCTTGGAAGTCTCTCAGAAAACAAGTCTTACAGCTATTTTTGGAAGATGTTTGATTGTTTGAGAAGGCCTTCGGCATCTATATTTAGAAGTAGCCTAATGGTTTTGTTGAAGGTTGCTCATTTCTTGTAGAGGCTTTTTAAATAGCATTTCTTACAACTTCCCTCAAAAGATGCCTGAATTTTTTTGGTAGATCTTACGGCTTTTGTGCTTAGAAGTAGCATGAATATGGGTCTTACAACCAAACCCTATAAGCAAAGCGGCCAGGGATTTGTATGGATAGGTCTTACTAATTCCCTTGGGAAGTAGCATATAGATTTCGGTAGATTGTACATTAGGTATTTTGGCTTACAATTTTTTACTAGTCTTGCACTACAATTTGGTTTTCAATTGTTTACTAGTCCTGCACTACAATTTGGTTTTCAATTGTTTACTAGTCCGCCACTAGTATTTTTGTTACAAAAGTTTCATTTTTCTCGCTTTAACAGTGTTCTTAGTTTCGACGGTTTCTTTTCCTTGCACTACAGTACTAGTTCTTTTCTTTTCTTGCACTGCATTTTTTGTTGATGTTACTGATTTTTTGTCTGCTTGTTCGTTTGCAGGAGTTCGAGCTACTTTGGAGCAATTCCAGAAATTTTGGAGCTTGCACAGATGCCTTGGAGTTTGAACAAGAGTTAAAAATTTTGGAGAGCTTTGTTTGAGTTTTGAGTTTTAGTTTTAGGAGTTCGATTTTTAGTTGGTGTGAGTTTGTTTTAGGATACTTAGTGTGAACACTTTTTATTATGTATTTTCTTTTGTATTTTTTTCATTTAATTGATTAAATTGATTTTTAAATTGGTTGATTAATAAGTTGATTAATTGGTTAACTAATTAAAATTTTAATTTAATTTAATTAATTAGTTTTTAAATTCATTTTAAATTGATAGATTAAATTTTTAGATTTTAATTATTCCATTGAATGGATTTTAAACTATTTAATTTTAGTTTACTTAAATGAGGTTTTAAATTGGTTAAGTAGATTTTAAATTTGTTTTAAATTGATCAATTAATTAGATTTTTATTAAATTGATTTAAATTTATTTAGTTAATTAAAGGTTTATGTTTTAACTAATTAAAGTTTAGAGTTTTTTATAAATTATAAAATGATTACAATTTTAGTTTCAATTACTAAATGATTAAAGCTTTAGTTTTATTAATTAAAATTTTTTAAATTTTATGTTTTAGTTAATTAATTAGATTTAGCTATAATTATTCAATTAATTACATTATTGCTCTCAAATTGCTCCCCAATTTTTCAAACAAAATTTTCTTTTTTAAATAAAATTTGTCAGCCTCCCTACAATTATTTCGGCAACCTCCCGGCATCCCCTCCCTGTAAGGGGAAGTGAGGACGACGCTTGTCATGATTTCTACCCACCCAGATCAAAGATCTGCAGCGCGAGGTCTTCGAAATATAAACTCATCATACTCGGATCAAAGATCAATAGCGTAGGAGCTTGAGATTGGAGATTTGTCCGCCTGGATCAAAGATCACGGCGTGGTCTTCGAATTTAAAATTCATCCGTCCAAATCAAAAATCGATGGCACAGGTCTTAAAATTATAATACATGTTGCTTTGCCAAACAATACAAATTATACAACAATTTTATTTTTATTATTCAACTCAATTGTGATCGGTTGGAGAAGAAGTATAATGCAATGGCAAGCAATATGGATTGTTGTCTCCTCAATCTGGAATAAACGGAACACAAAAGGATTTCTAGTGTGTTGGAGTCAAGCCGAATCAGAGCAATCACTTGTGATGTACATATCAGACGGAGGCGGGGTATGGCAGGCCGAAGGGGGTCGTGTGTGCGTATAAGTGGGTCGTTGTAGGCTGGGGCATACAGAAGAAGGCCGGCCTTGCGTGCAAATGGAAAAGACACATGGGTTGTTTGAGGGGCCGGAGGCAGACGCTCGCGTGTGAGTTGAAGCGGGTTGTGTGTGTTCTCATGAGGAGAGGTCAGGTCGTGCAGTCTCACACGAGAGCAGATCGAACGAAGTGTGTTCGTCCGAATTGAAATCGGAGACTGGGTCGCGGTCGAGGGTGAGCGATCATTGCAAGCATACGGATATGGAGTGGAAAGGTCGGCGGATCGACAGGCTTTGGTCAGAGCTGTGGATTGGGTTCGATTGGAGCGGATAAGTATCCGCTCAAGGCTACTAATGGAAGACAGTGCGGGAGAACAGATAGCTTGGAGTCAAATTCGAGAGCAGGTATTGCAAGCATCTATTTTTTTTTTTCCGTTCAGTTTTCAGTGTGTATTTATCGATTGTATAGACAAAGGGATGCATCATTTCGTGAAATATTACAACTGTTCGATCAATTATTCGCTTTTTGAAGCAGTGCAATTGTTCATTTTTTTCTCTTTTTTTATTTTTTAAAAAAGCCAACAAATTGCCTCCCAACGAATTCATTGTAAGACTTTTCACGAATTCATTGTGCGACTTTTCACGGGATGAATTTGTTGCAGTCACTGTTTATATGTACATTGTCCTTTTTTTTGTCAGGTAATGATGTTCGATTGGAGGAGATCTCCGTTAATGCCCATAATTGAGCCTTCTGAGGAGATTATTTGGTGGGAGATTGACGATTTTGGTCGTTCCCAGTCAACTTCTATACAGGATCGATTATTTTGGCATAGGGAAGAACTGAACCCAGCAAAAAAGCTGGGCGTGAATAGGGAGGGGATTTCGGATCCTCTTGTGGGGCCAAGAGAGCTGTAATTTAATATGGAAGGAGGATAAATAGAGGGAGAGATAATTAGGAAGGTTTTAATTAAAATTGAGAGGAAATTATTTAGGGAAAGATCCAAATTAAATTCAAATAAGAGAGGAAATCATTTGGGAAAAGTAAGCTGATTTTGGAGAGAATTAGGGGAGACTATTTAGGACTAATTATATTGTATTTTGAGTTTATACAATTTATTTATGTTGTAGCTTTTCTCTTGGTGAGTTTCCTAGCAGCATCTAGATTTTTGGGAGAGCGGATCTACCTCTCAAATAGTAGATCAATTGTATATTTCATTATTGTTGAAGAATTAATCAAACTCAACCCCTATTTTGAAATTCCTATAATTTTCTGATTGTTACCTTGTTGTTTTTACTTCCAAAAAGCATCAGAATATTTGTCTTTTAGTATCTCGTATCATTGAAATAATAGTTTTATTAGTTACACGTTACTTAAAGTTATAACTACTATCTCTTCAACTCATCAATATAGTGGTGAAAGTTAGCAATGCTGTCATAAGAAAACATCTAGGTAATATTGTCACATTACAATGATCCAAATGATCTTTTCTTAACTTGCAATCTTCACTAAACCTCTAATTTCCTATAATTAAAGATCATCTTAGATCTTTAGCTTCTCTACAAGGTTTTAAGTCCTCAATCTGACAAAACAACACAAAGAAAAGCAATTATCACATCAAGATAATGTTCCAAAATGTAACCTAAAAAAGGAGAATAAGTAATGAAACACCACCCAGAAATTAAAATAAATATAAGCAAAATTTCGTATGTCTACATTTATCCAAGAGAAGAGGCACTCTCATCTAGATATAAAAGTACCTGATAAACATCATCTAGCGTGAGAAATCCATTCCCCCTATCAAAAGAGTGGAAACATGAGTGAATGCATGGAAGCCGACTAAGAAATTATTTATACCAATTCCCATAACGTGTATTGTGTGTAAGAGAGAGTGAGATCAAGAAGGCGTCATAAGGTCTAGGGTTTCCAATGCAAACCTAGCATCCCATACAGAAAATTATGCAACACGAAATTTTGGCAATCTATTACTCTTAAATAATTATTTACCCTGTTTGAAGAAAACCCAAAAATTGATAAAATTCAATTTAAGAGAAGTTTTATCATCTTTTACCATAAACTAGTAACAAGAAAATTGAGGATCATGAAGCAACAAAATTAATTGAAATTTCATGCCAAAAAAAAAATCATATTATAGCAAATTTTGGAAATCAGTCTTTCAACTAATAACAAAAATGACTGCAAGGAGGGAAAGGATAAGAAAGAAAAGGAAAGCCAGAGGGTAAATAAACAGCATGCTTGTAGAAGAGGATAGCCTTAGTTCGAGTTTTAAGTCTCATAGTTCATCAAGGAGTTGAGTCCCAAATAAAAGATTTGCTCATACAAAGCAAAATTTTCCACAACTAAGGTTTGTTTATTAGGTTCACTATAACCCTACCTATAATCAACCAATGGAATAAATAAATCTCCTAAGAAGCAGCCACCAAAAGAAAAAACAATAGTAACTACCAAATAACCACACTAACAAGAGATAACAGCAGCTAAAACCTCAAAAATGTCGTAGAAATCCCAATATATCCACAATATCATCTTCCGACCATGATATCAGGATTGAAAGAAAGATAACCCATTGAAACAGTTGCAAAATAGACATAATAGAAGGAGAGCTAATTCTGCATGAAGAGCCACACATACCTTGTTATCAAAAAATAAACGAAAGATTGGAAACATCAAATCTGTAGGCTAGCAAATATTTGGCTCCCATGAACTATTAGTGGATATTCATCCAATAGATATGGGCATAATTATTAAATTTTCTACAGAGATATATATGATGCATTTCATGTAGCCATGTCTCTCCGCCCCATGAAATAACCATTAATAACTACCATCACAACTAGATAGAATTTCACTAATTATGGTTTAACACATAAGATTAATATAACCATTTATAAAACTTGTAGACAAATTCGATGTCAAACTAGAAGTTAGGGCTGCAAAAAAAGACGAATCCATAACATTGATTAATGGCTCATGATATAAGGTTAAATCACATTCATTAAAAATATGACATGTAGCCATGTTATATTCATTAAAACTAGTATTGATATTAAAAAATTTCTTTAGATTTCTAACTTTTATGTTTTAGTTCCAATTAGTTGCACGAATTTTTCTTGAATTACTTTTCTTACAATTGATTTCTACAGGGTTAACAGAAGATAATATTTTGAATTTAGATGGACATGAACTAATCTCCTTAACAAGAAACTTATGACGACTATTTTCATCAAATCATGCAAACGTTTAATAGATAATGCATATAAAGTAATGGTAAAATACTTATATGCTTTCTAACTAATACACTATAAATCATTTCAAGAAAAGAAAATATTGAAGAATACTCAAATGATTATTTGTACGATTCCATAATACTTTCTTCAAGTAACTAGCAAGCCACACACATGTTCTATTTAATAAGGCCTAATTATTATATGCTCTGACATCATCTAAAAAAGGTAATCTAATTGAATTAAAGATAAAACATAATGATTATGTACCTATGGATTCAACCATGCAATGAATTTTAAATTTCATAATGTCTTAAAAATGGTTATCATGAATAAATCTATTTTAATGTACTGGCACAATTGGAGTTGCTGAATAAGGATCTTCAAATGAAGAAATCAAGAACCAAAAATAAAATCAATATGAGTGATTTGTTGACCCATGGAAAATTTTAATAAATAATATCTAAGGAATAATATTATTAGTTTGCTCAATTGATTTAACAATCTCAACATGTAAAATTTATTCAATTTCAAAGTCACAAATAAATTCATATATATATATATATATATATATATATATATATATATATTGTTTACCAAAGCCATCATCCCCTAAAACCTCCAAATCCTTTGATTCTCTCATAAATACATATATGCCCTAAAAAAATTTTAGTCATGAATGACCTCTTTATAAAGATAAAAGGAGCAACAAATTCCAAAATCTATGAAAGTTATCTTAAAACATTAAGGAAAAAAACATTAAATATGCAATACAACAACAACAAAAACAAGTCTTTGTCCCACTACGTGGGGTCGGCTACATGAATCCTTTTTCGCCATTGTGTCCTGTTAAAATCCCCAAACAAAACCTACAAACATTAAATATGCAATATCTTCAAAAAAAATGAAATATATATATATATATATATCAATCATTTTGTACCTTGAGTAAATTTTGCCCTCAACATTAAGTTGATTAGAAGCATCAAATGTAAATTCGAATAAGTCCACAAACGAGACAATGTCGTATCAAATATCTTCAAGCAATACTAGCTCAAAAATCCACGTAAGCATGTAAAACGTCTTCTAATTAGGTGGTTAGCATGGATAACACAAGTCCCACTATGCTACCATTTTTTTTTTACCCACTATGCTACCATTATGACAACTGTTTATATGCTTCCCAATGACATGCATTCCCGCTTATACTTTAGCCTAAGACATCTGCTAGAGCCAAAGACCTCTGTCAATGTCAGTATTTAGTATGAAATTAGCCACTCAATCAACTTCGGCCCTCAATTTATGAAGTCTCCTTGCATGACTAAAGAAAAGGATCATCTTGAAGTTTGGTTAGATAGAATTCCTCCGCTCTGATTAAATAGATCATTGTCATGACCATTTAGGATAACACAATCATGGGATATCAAATCCCCAAACAAAACCTACAAAGCATTAGAGCGAATCACCTTTTCCATATCACCAAGAGAGCCACTGTAACAACCAATCAACTAAGGAGTCTATACTGTTAATGTCAAAAGTTCTCCCTCACAAGAGGGTGATTAATCATGGGGGATTGGCCCAAGAGAAGCTTTGAACTAAGAAGGTTAAGTTTTTTGCAAGATGGTGGCATTTTTGGGTAGTGATTTTTCACTGCTTAAGCTGCCTTTTGAAAATAATCAATTTCTACACAAAATTGGTCAAGCGGCACTTTTCCAGGCCAACATTCATCATCATCATTTGCTTTATCCTAATCATTTGAGATTAATTTTATGACTCCGCATTCTCAATTTATTCTTGTTGACTGTTTTATGATGCGTCAACCTATTTTGCAGCTATCAAAATGGATCAATACACTTAAAATTGCTTGCCATATCGAAAGTTAAAGACAAAATAATTGCCTGAGACTAAGAGATGCTTCGCTAAAGTAGTTAATGACTGATTCAGAAACTACCAAGACTTTGATGTTTTAAGCGAATCGTCTAGAAAAGATTGAGGCTGAAGTGATGCTCAGATTACTCTTACTCGGCCTAACAGTGCTAGCACTCTTTAAAAAGTATTATCACATCATAAATTTATTGGTTAACTAGCCTGCTTTCCAAAGCACTTGCCATCTTTAGATATTGCTGAAAATTTCTACAAAAGCACAACTCCAACTGCATCTTGAATTGACGAAATTTTAGACAATATTCTTCGTGACTACACCGCCCCTGCAACCACTAAAAAAGCTGTTACAATTACCCATGACCTTAAAAACAAATAATTTGTCCCGTTCATTTAGTTTAATGAGTTATCATGGGCTTGGAGAGACTGAGATGAGCGGAGCATGTAGGGTCCTGGCATTGCTATTTTTTACATGCAATGCAGCAAACATCGACAAAATATAATTACTCATGGAAATCACCTCTTAAAAAAATATTAATGCATGAAAGCATAAACTAGTCATTGGAAGGACTGCAAAAATTTTCAAAACTTGAAACAAGGCGACATTCTCAAGGTAAAATAAAAGTTAAGACAAAGTAGCATGAGTTAATGTACGCCAAAATAAGATACCTGTCTAGCTGAGAGAATGCATTTTGAACCTGAAACAATAGTAAAAATGAGCTACAGTGGAAAAATAATAATTTAATGTTTTCAAAATATGAAAATTTTGCCACCCGGTTCTTTGATTTTTTATCATAAAGTTATGTTTCTGAAGTTGAAATGAAGCTAATGGGCATGACTAAACTTAATGAAAAGTACTAATCTATTCAAAACAATTTTAACTCCAAAAACAGAAAAAGAGAGACAATTGACTGAAAATAAAGCACTGAGATGAATTAAGATGAATGAAATCCTCCTCTACAGCCTGTTACAAATTCCTTCAGTTCATTTCATTAATAATTAAAACTTCATTCAGCTTGAACGGTGAACACAATAAAACATTTTTTTTTAGATTTGGCACATTATGATTTACATCAAACCGATAGCTAGTCCACACAATCTACTGATATCCAGTAAGAGACTCTAGAACATAAAGCCACCAAAACACTCAGAACATGACCAGACCAAAGTTGATTATTGTATTGCAACTATACTTGTCAATGGTGAAAGGTGCACCAAGGCGCAAAATTCATTGTGGAGCTATGGTGCATAGCACACAGCGTGGCGTGCCATTTTAAACATGAACACAGCAAAAAGCGTGGCGCGCCATTTTAAACATGAAGCATAATGTAAAATAATTAAAATATATATATTGTTAATATTAAATATCATTAAATAGCAAACAATAGGTTGATTAAAGCATAATTTAAACATAAATATCCTGTCAAATAACAAATGACAATTTTAAATCCTACATAAACTTACATCAATAGATTCGAGCAAGATGTAAGCACAATTTAGTCTAAATATCGCCAAATAGAACAAAAGATAGCTTTAAATCCTACAAAAAAAAGGCAAATCCTTTAATGTTTTTTTATATTTTTTATATTTTATAAATTTGATGTATAATTAATTAATAATTAACAGTGATATTAATATATAAATCTTAAAAATTTTAATTATAATTTATAATTTGAAATTTATAACAATTTGACAAAATAGCAGACGCCATGGTGCGCGCCATTTTGCGTCACATGCATGATTGCAACAAAACTAATTCCCAACACACTTTGGTAAGATTCAATTATGAAATATGTAGAGAACCTATGAAATAGTTATGCAATGACAAACAACTTAGACATTGTTCATGAAGATAACATTAATGCAAGTGATGAAAATTGTTGAGCACCAAAAACTTATGGGCACTAAATAAGAAAAATGAAATAGGATCAAGGAGGATTAACTAATAAACTGAGTTGTAATCAAACATTTAACTGCGGTAACTCAAAGGATGGGTAAAATCAATAAACTAATCACACCTAACGACGACTTTGAGTCTACATGTCAACAAAATATGGAAAGATAAATGAAGAACCAAAGCACAAGGAAACACAACCACAATGTGGTGATGTAAAAAAAATTTGATGCAACTGTGCCTTTTTAATTTCTTAATAAATATCTCAAACAGAAAAATGTGGAAAACAATTTATAGTTAAATTTTACATAGAAAAATAAGCATTTGAGCATAATTTTCATTTATCAGATGGCTGAGAATTTTTTTTTTTAGTTTCATGGTCATAGAAATCAAATTCATATAAGTAGACATATCATGTGCTGTCCTACATAAACTTAATATCCTTTTAAATGATGAAGGTAATGATCTCAATGATTAAAAATATGGTTACTCCTTGTAGTTTGGCCTTTTTTTGTGAGAAAAGAACAATAGTTTTGAAACTTTGCATGCAAGGATAACAATATATGTTATTTTGTAGATAAGAAATAACCCTAACTTACCAACTAGGCATTCCTCTATTAACAATACCAGAGTTTCAAAACAAACTCCTAGAAACATAGGCATTCATGTAGTTTGGTCTTTTTGTGAAAAATAATGATAGTTTTGAAATTTTGTAAACGAGCATAATAGTTTATGATATTTTGTAAATAAGAACAACTAACCCTGAGTCCCTAGCATACAAACTAGGCATTACTCTAGCAACAATACCCGATTTTCAAAACAAACTCAAGTAGTAATGCCAATATTTACTAGAAACATATGCATACGTGCTAAGGTTTCAAGAAATCGTCAAAAGTATGTAAGGGTTAGTTTTACTTATTTGCAGATTGGTTACATTATTGTACTTGTTTACAAAAAATTTAAAAAAAATATTCTTTAACGCAAAAAGGGCAAACTAGAGATTTTTATACAATAGCCCACAAAAATAATTTTAATAAATTCATGAATCTCCATAATGAATGAAAATCAACTGTAAACCAATTTGTTTTAAATCTCATTAATCCTTTTCTAGAAATTCATTAATAATAATGAGACATGTTGGTAACTAAACTAGTTTAGGATATTAGTTAAAAATTTTAGGACAAATAATTTTAGGAACTATTTGTCCGAAAATTTTGCAGCAAAATTCAGTGCATAGCAAGAATTTGAGGTTTGTGGTTATAAAGCTTGACATCAAGAAATGAACTTCTAGCTTTTTTTTTTTCAGCATAACATTTGTAGAAGGAGCGAAGGCTAAGTTAAGAGAATAATTCTTACAAAAAAAATGTTATTCAACTTACTGAATTCAATGTTTAGGGCTACTGACCTTTAGTAGAAACTTGTTAAGAGCAACAAATTCTGCAAGATTACACATGGAATGAAATGAAGTGAATAAATATGCCATAATCATCCCTCATAGAAATCAACAATGAAAATATTTAGAAAAGCTCTATAACCTTGAATTCTATTTACAACAAGCTGTTTGAGTTCATAGCCACAATGCAAAACAACAAAATTAGATCTTTAGTTGGTTAATCTTGAGGTTTGAAAATGAATTCAATAAGAAAATGAAAAAGGCCTCAATTGTACAAGGAATAACATCCAAAATATTGCATAATGTTCACTAGATGGATTGCCTGCTGATAGAAACAAGGTCAAATATAGACCAGATTAGGAGAACCCCATTCCCATCAAATAAGGAATGCACGTCATGGGGGGTAGGAGGAACCACCATCTAAATGGGTCAACAACAACAATTAATATAAGTCCAAGTGAATATTGTAAGGTTTAATTACTGTTTTCATAAAGTAATCCAGTTTAATACATATCACAATTTGTAACTTATTTGATTGAAATATTTAATTGGTATTTTCATTTTTTTCTTTCAAAACAATGTTTCTCAGACAAAACTATTGTATTCGTCAATCTACAACATTACAAACCCATATGATAATTGATCATCCTAATCAATAGCTAGATTCTATGCTCTATTCCTCAAGTACTTAACTATTCTTTATAACCTTGCTTTACATTTAGGGCTAGTTTTTATTTAGATTGGAGGATGGAAGTAATTGCAACTTACTTTGAAACTGAGTTCAAACACATTTTTAAAAATTAACGAAAGTGGGTCCCTATATTTTAAACAAATCTTCATATAGTTGAGCAGTTAGTTCCAATCACATGGGTGTAAAAATCGCCTTTGGTTTGGCTTTTAAAATCTAATAGTAATGGAATAACTTTAAATTAATTGAATGATGGGTTAGAAAATTACTTTTACTTGCAATAATAATAATATTCTATAAACATAATGATATGGTGGGCAAATTGAAATTCACTGCAGTTCAATCAAGCACGATAACCAAGGTATTAACAAGTTGTCTTCTTTTAAACAAACAGAGATCATTGAAACTCACCTAATTGGAAACTCACTTTAAAACAATTTGGTTCTTCACGGAAACATAAGTAAGATGCAAACATAAACATAACAAAAGTGATATCATAAATTTCATCAATGGTAGAAAGCACTTCATTAGTCAACGTTAATTTCATAATAAGTATGTTAATACTGTGCAAAAAATATTACAAACTGACATTTTCAATTATCAAGGGCTGTCCTGTTTTATACTAACTATGGAATATGGATTAAGTCTGGATTTGGTGATGATCTAAGGAAATGCTAAACTTCAGCGATTTGGCTAGTTGCATAAGATAATTATAATTGAATGCATTGACCCTTAAGTAATATGAAATAGCTGGGAGCTTCAAGGTCTAGGAGGATAAATGCTGTTAAGCTGACAGAATGATAGATCTACAAGTAGCCGACACGATCATGTCGCAAAGAACGATATTCTTAAAATATTTTTTTAAAAATATACAGAAAAGCTGTAACTGAACCAACCTTCAAAATCCATAGTCCCATTTCTATCAAAATCATACATCCTGTAGAAAATTTAATACAAAAAAATAAATTCCAAAAATAAGAAATATGGATAAATGAAGAAGATAAGGAACGGATAGAATGTGAATACCTAATCATTTGCTGAACCACAGCTAGAGGGAAGTCTAGGTTCCCAACGGCAAGAGCATTCTAATAAGAATTTAGTTACAAGAACGAGATAACAATCGAATAATCAGTTAGGGCTAGAATTCAATCATATGGCGCTAACTAGAAAATAGAACGAACAATAGCTATAAAGGAAACCTTAAGCTGAGAAGCGTTGATGCTTCCATTATTGTTGGAATCTACGCGATGAAACCACTCCTTCAACACTTTAGGGTTCTCCATTCCTTCCAACCAATTGCCCCGCCCGGTTTAACGCAGCAATAGCGCCCCGCGGGGTTTAAGGAATTTGCAGGTCAGTATTTATCCATGCAAAAAAAAAAACCGGTTTAGAGTTTAGACAAATCTCAAATTGTTTTATTAAGAAATTTGAAATATAATAAAAATAAAAATATAGAAATATTCTTTATTATCTCACAATCTTTACGTCTGTTATAATACATATTAGTAATAAAAATATTCAATATATTAATTGAGCGAATTTATTTTATCATCTTATAAGTTTTTATTGGATTCCAAAGCAATTCATAATTTTTCAATTTTTATTTTATTATTTTAGGCCTTATTAATCATAACTTTATAGCTTAGAAGTAAAAAATTTTAAAGTAGACATGTCATTAAAAAATAAATTGCATCAATCCATTATATCTGGTTTATCAAAATAATAGAAGAAAGTCTAATCGTATGAAAAATATTTACAAATTTATATAGAAATAATGCAACATTGATATAGCACTCGCATAAAATTTTTTTAACTAATACTATATCACCTTAAAAGATGGATATAATAAACACCAAAAAATATTTTATGCATGATAATTAAATAAAAACACGTCATAAGAAAAATAAAACAATATCTTTTTAGTGGTAAAAATTAAGGATTTGGATTTTTTTAAAACCGCTATAAAATATTATAAAGAAAATATTTTAAAAAAAAATTGTTATAAAAATAACTTTTTACTATAATTTTTTTAAATAATAAAAAATAGTTAAATAAAAATTATGATTATGACCTAAAAAATAAAATAATAAAAAATTTATCCAAAATAAAATTTATTTTTTTTGTTAATTTACATTTTAGGCATTTATTGATGAGTGCGTTAATCAAAATAATACTAATGCAAGTAACATAAAATTATTAATATAACTTTTATAAAAATATATATATTAAGAATTTAGTAAGCATGGACATTCTCTTTTCCTCCTAAATCTACATATAATTACTCTTTCTATAAAAAATTTATTTTCGTACAAAAAGAGAACAGCCCCAGCTTAAGCAGGGGTGTAAGTGACTCAACCTGACTCATAAGTAAGCTTGAAATTGACTCATTAACGATATCAAAAATTGAGCTTATCGAGTATTTAGTTCGAGCTTTCAATCGAGCTCGAATAATATATAAGTTCGGTTTTCGAGTTGAGCCCTACTTGAACACTCATTGAGCGGCACAATTGATTAAATTGGTCGGTCGAACCAACGACCCACAAGCAATCTGTTGTCCGGTCTGAAGCCTCGACCCCTATATATAGTTGATACATCGTAAAAAATTTACCTTGATCGAGCACGAATCTCAGGGCAAAATCAAGTTGGAAACTTCAAAAATTAAATCGGAGACCATTCAAATTCTGATTTCAGCAAACTTACAGTCAAACCGAGCATCTCAGAAACATGAACCCAACGACACCAAAATTGACCCAATCCGAGCCCAAATTAGTCCAAATCAAAGACTCGAAGCACTTTTGGAAGAATCTAACCACAATTTGGGTTACCAAACGGTCTCCAATTGTGACATGCTTATAATCGAATCGAACGGCTCGACAAGACGAATCCAACGAGCTCAAGATCATCAAATTCTGATATCATTAAGACAATCAAAGGTCCATTGAACGGCGTACAATCGTATGAATCAATATCGGACGTCCATCCAAACCACTCCCAATTTACCATTGATCTTCCACTTATTTGCAAGTCATGCCACTCAAGAATTCTATAAATAAAAACCCCATTTCCTCTTGAAAGGGGGGAAGAAGGCAAGAGGGAAGAAGGCAAAAGAGAAGAAGGAAGAGAAGGAAGAAAGCTCCAGCGGCCTAGCTCCTCTTCGACCACCGCCAGAGTTCTGCCGCACCACCGCCGGACCACCAAGGGACGCTGGAGTTCTGACGCACCAACTCTGAAGTTCTACCGCACCATCGTCGGACCACCAGGGGACACCGGAGTGCCACCCGAAGGCGGAGTGCCCCCTAATGCTGAAGTGCCACTAACGGACCACCGCTTGACATCGAAGTGCTGTCGAACCAACACCTAAGACTCGGACTTCTGTCGGACCACCATCTGATGCCCGGAGTTCTGCCGGAGTATCGTCCTACTACTATGGCCTTTCTAGCCCCAGTCTTTTGTCGACTACGGTCCTTCCGACCTCCGTTGCCTACTATGGTAACCTCCCTCGCCAACTATGGTCTTTCTGACCTTGGTCTTCTACCAACTATGGTCCTTCTGACCTCCCTCGCCAGACAACGGTCTTTCTGACCCCTATCTTCTACCGACTACGATGCTTACAACTTCCATCACCTACTACGGTCTTTCTGACCTCTGTCATATCGACTATGGTCATGCCAACCAAATAAATATGTCTATGTTGATGCGTTATATATGATGTATATTTATAACATCAAGCCAAAGCCTTCTCTCAAGGAAGGGCCTCATTTGTAATCAACTGCAAATACTAGTGGATTGTTTCAAACTTGGCCAGGCCCCGTAATTTTTTCCCCTTTTTCAAGGGTTTCCACGTAAAAAACTCTAGTGTCTCTTATGAACGATACACCCTCCCTTTTTATGCTTGTGTTCTGGATCTTCATACAACGCTGAGATGATAAACTTTATCATTCTCTACCGCACGAATTTTTTAGGACGCAACAATAGTGTTTCTCATTAAATTGGCCTTAAGAGCTTGTGATTTGTGAAGGCTGCGACTAGGGGTGTTAAAATTGGGTTTCGGATCAGGTCTAACCTGAACTAACCAGAGTTTAAATGGGTTGACCCCAACCTGACTCGGTTATATAAACGGGTCAATAGTTTAGACACAGACCCGACCCATTTGGGTTATTAGGTTGACCCAACTTGAAAAGGTAACCCGAATTTCCTAGGTTGAGAACGTGTTGTTATATGCGGGCCATTGGGTGCAATTGTGCAGACTACAAATGCATCACAGTGACAATGAGGTGAGAGTGGACGTAGCGTCAACAGGTCACACATTATGTAAGTGTCGAGATGGATATGAAAGCAACAGAACCGGCACAGTCTGAGGCCCTAAGTCGAGTGTAAATGTGTGACACGAGAGTCGCAAGAGCAACCATTGACCAGGAAAATGCAGATGATGGAGTCGTGCATGGGACAGAGAGGTGAGTACATACCCATGCACGGGAGAAGCATATATGGGATGAATTGGGAGGTTAGATCCAAGTCAATTTAGTAGCTTTTGGGCTTTTAGGTCAACCCAAGTGTGGCCTAATTTTTGAAACAGGTTAGTTTGTTGAATATAAATGTGACTTGTATGGAAAACATATTGGCCCTAACCCAAAATATTATGGTCGATATTTTAGATCGTGACAAATATTGACACCCCTAGTTTTGACATGCGACCATTTGAGAATTTCTCCTTCCATGCCTTGGAGCGACATCCAGTGATTTCGTAGGTTAAATAATATATATATATATATATATATATATATAAGGAGCTCCGTTACTCTAAAGATTGATTACCCTGAAGCTCTGTAAATTTTTTTCTGGTGTTATTTTCTACAATTGGATTCGAAAAGACCGAACTCTCTGTGACATGGCCTAGTTTTATTCTATAATTCTCCTCTATTATCTCACTATGGTGCTCTGTTGTTGCTACCTTTCGTTTCTTCTAGTTGTCATTTAATTTTATATCTTTTGAGGTTTGCTAGGGTTTTATTTTTTTGTGTTTGTCAATGATGTTGTTCCCTTGATAAGTAGAACTTCTCTCCTTGGATGGTTGATTGGCAACCAGGGGGAGTGAGATAGTATGGTGGCTTTCCACTGCTAATTTGAACATACAATTTGATCAATAGTTATTGTTGGTTCTCCCCTGAGTCCCCTCTCTATTTGATCCTAGTTCATGTTGTAGTTGGTTTTCTATTTTTAAGCTAAGGTGTCTTGCTGCCACTAACTTAAACAAACAACCATTAACTAGAATACATAATCTATTGCACTGCTTATGCTGCCTTTCTAGTTTTGATTCTAGTTCATCTTGTCATTGTGTTTTCTAAAATTTAAGGTCTGATGAGATAATGTTATTTGCCAAGAATGATGATGTTATTGTCTTAATAATTAGACTTTTATCCCCTTTGATGGTCGTTGGGCAATCAGGGGAGCAAGGGGTATAGATGTTTGATTAAAATTTTCTTATCATGAATCCTCACATTCGTATTTTAAAAGTTGTTGAGTTGAACTTAGTGCCTGTATGTTCAACTCAGTGGATGTATGTTGAAGTCAATGGATATTTGTTGAAGTCAGTGATTGTATATTGAAGATAGTGGATGTATATTGAAGTATGTGGATGTATTTTCAATTCCCTTTAATGTTTGTGGGTGTTTGTTGAAGTTAATGGATATGTGTTCAATTAGTGGAGTATTGTTTTGTTATTCCAATTCAATGCTGGTTTGTTCTTTGATTTTGGAGAATAATGGTCATTTTTTTCAATTTATAATGTCAACCCCAAGAGGCACAACAAATGAATTCAGTGAATAAATAAATGTTGAAAATATAAGTATTCATAGATAGTCTCACTCTGATATTGCTAGTGAGCAAGTGAATGAGGTTCTAATTGATAATGAGATTTGTAACAATATTAACGAAGTTGAGAATGATGGTGGAAGAGTGAATGATGGAGTTCCAGAAAATGAAAATGCTATTGAGAGGAAAAAGAGAAAAATATCAAAAGTTTGGGATGAATTCAAGGAAGTGGCTCTTACTGATGGGTAGAGAAAGCATAATGTTTTCATTGTAAGAATAAGCTAGCTTTGAGTAGTATAGGTTCCACCACTCATTTTAAACAACATTTGGAACGTTGTTTAGCTAGGATTTGTGCTTTGAAGAAGCAAAAGCTTATAAATTTCAAAATGTTGAAATTGATAACTCATGTGCACAATCTAGTCAATGAGGCATGTTAACAAGTTTCAAGTATGCTCATGACAAAGTTAGGGGATCTATTGCTCATCATATTCTCATAAATTATAAACTGTTTTTTTATTGTTGAAGAGCATGGGTTCAATCTTGTTTTGAAAACCATGTCACTTTACTTCCTGATGTTTTCACATGCAACAACAAGAAACGATGTTATGTTGGTATGTAAGACGAAAAAAAAAGAAAGTTGAAAAATGCTTTGAAGATCATTAATAAAATAATTTGTTGCAACTAACTTATAGACATTCAAAAATCAAAGGATGTCATATATGGTTGTATGAGTATGTTTTAAGTTTCAGACCAAAATTAGAAGAAGTTAAAGGCAACAACATTGTGCCTTCTAGGAGCACAAGCAGTTCAAAGCAAAGTAACAAAAATACATAATGAATCAAAGAAATATAGTGGTTGGCATGACTTCACTTCATATGTATCGGCTAAAACAAGCACAAAACCTATTAAATCCAATGTAGATAAATATTTGGATGATGGATTAGAAATTAATAATGAAGGTAAAAAAAATGATGTTATTACACGGTGGAAGAGCAATCAAACGAAATATTGTGTACTTACGAAAATGGCTGTGGATATTCTATCAATATCAATAAATACAATAGCTTCAGAGTCCACTTCTAGTGTAGGTGAACGGGTGGTTGACACATGTCATTCTAAAGTAGGAGTGAAAATAGTACAAGCTCTTTTGTGTGATTCAAATTGGATTCGTTGCCACTATGTACTGAAGGGAATGATAAAGATACATATCTTTAAGAATGCAATTAATAAACTTTATAAATTTGCAGTTATTTTTGGTTGTTGTGAACAAGATGATCTTTCTATTGGTTGCATCATGGAGGACAAATTAGTTATTAATATCTGTCATGCTTTAGTGCTTTACTAATGTTTTGCTTATGAAGTTAACTTTGAGAGTCTGCCTTTGATGCAATGATTAATTGCTTATTTTATTTTATTTTTGATATAAGCATTTGGGTTGTTTGGATTTCTATAATCCTATTGTTTCGTGCATTTTGTTTGGTGTAAGCGTGCGAGTAGTTTAGATTTATGCTGTTGTTTTCTGTAATCATTAACTTGACATTTTATTTTTTATGCTATATGTGAGAAGGTTGGTTTGATTTATGCTGTATATTTTCTCAAATGTAAAGGTTGATGTTGTATTTTCCTGCAATCATTAACTTGATATTTGTGTTTTTTGACGTACATGAGAGGTAGTGTTGCCTTCTGCTGTATGTGGGAGGTGTAGTAGTTTTCTATTATAGGTGACAAGCATTATTGAGGATTTTTGAACTCTAACAGATGAAAGATGATGAATTAATTATATCCCCAATTATCTTCCTGTGTTGGTCGATTTGGTAATTATAATTGGATGGCCGCATATTATATTTGTGGACAGATACTATATATTTCAACTCTTTGCAAATGACAACCATCAAATGGATGATCACTTCTGGCATAAGGAGAATTTTGCCCATGTTGCTTTATATATCCTACTAATTCTTGGGATGTAATTTATTTTCCCGAGTTCTGAGTTGGGATTATTCCCAAGAAAAGTTGTAATATTTTTTAGCACATTTTATAAAATGATGTAAATATATTTTTATAAAATGCTGTAAATATATTGATATACTTGAATAGTATAACTTTTATGTGGTTTTGCTTTGAGATTGTTTCTTAAATTGATAATTATTTTTTCTATTTAAGTTTACTTCAAAATCATCTTGCAACACAAGTTCACAACTTATTGATTTTTTAAAAAATAATATTTAATTTCACTTCTTATTTATTAACTTTTATTTTAAATTTCATATATATTTATTTACACTTCTTCGAAGTGAAAATCAATATTTTAATGAAGTTATCTTTTTTCCCCTTAAATTACAAATAAAAATAAAATAACCTCAATTTTTAAATTTATAACAATAAGAATCGAGCTTTATAAACGAGTAGAGTTTAAGCTTTTTAAACGGACCAATTAATTAAGACAAGCTTGATCTTATTTTCTTAAAACGAGTTGAGCTTGAGCTCATTAAATGAGCCCGAGATGAGCTCGAGCTCAGCATGGGCAAAATGAGCTTAGTTAGATAATCTCAAATTGCCTAATTTTTTTTTAGAAAGGGGAATCGACCTGATGCCACCCCTGAAAGGGTGCTTGACGGCATGACTAATCCTCAGTTGACCTAGAAGAGACACCATCCAAAAAATTTTCTGGCCCGCACTTAATTGGGCCCACTTAAGAATTGCCAAAATTTGAGTCGACTCCACCATTACACCCCTAGGCCCAGGACACGCGTCTTGCGGAGCTTCGTGTTCGACAGCATTCGTGCTCTGCTCCAAATGCATCCTATGTATGGGCTGGTCGGTCCAGACAAACCATCGGTCCAAAACTAAAGGGCCTGTTTGGTAGCCCCTAGGATTTCATTTAAGTAGGATTTTGTAAATCCTCCGATATGGATTTACGAAATCGAGGGGGGGGGTTAAATCCTAAAAATTGTTTGGTAACATTCATGATTAATTCTGTTAAATTCTTTGTGACTATTTGATTGTTTAATTTAGGATTTAAAGCTATAAAATGAGTTGACATGCATTGTTAGGATAATTAAAGTACAACAATAGAAGTTTAAATAAAATATAACAAAGCTTATCAATACTAATAAATTATTTAATTAATATTTATAATATTTTATAATAAATTTTTTTTATTTAAAATTATATATAATCCTATTAATTATTTTGAAATAAGTAAGTATTTAAGTAATAATTTTATTAATTATTTAAATATTATTTAATTAATTTCACTTAATTATTACTATTTTAAATTATATTAATTAAATTATTCAACAATAACTTAGAGGAGTCTAGTAGTAGGTTTTACATTTGGGAATTTACATTTCCCTTCTCTATTTCGTTCGGCTTCGGCTTCGGCTTCGGCTTCGTTCCTTCATATGAGTGTAGTTTTGCACGAGTTCTTCTTCGTAGCTGTCGACTTTACTCCTTCGACGAAGTTCCCTTCCTGTTGGATCGGAAGTTACGACATTTTTTTGGATCGGAAGCAACAACGGGAGCTCGCTTGCTGTAAAGATAACTTTCTCCTTCTTCGGCCAAATCCCGTAAATCCGCCAAACCAAAGGATTTCGTAAATCCGGGATTTACCACGGAAAGAGGGAATTTTCCGTCAACCGAGGCTTTGATTTACCGTGAGATTGGTTTTGCATTTTTGGCCGTTTGGCTGGATTTATCTCAAATCCGCTTCAAATCCGACCTAAATCCTGCATCCAAACAGCCCCAAAAGGAAGCCAAGGTGTGTCATCAACCTTTCATCCGCGGAGGCGATCGTCGATCATCCAGCGTTCGACGGGATTTCTCTTCGAATTTTGGCGAGAAGCTGAAAATCTTGGCTACGACGAAAATATATAGTCTCCCACATCTTCTGCCTTTAAGCTGGGATAGTTTTTGGGTTAGGGTTTTGGTCTTGGAGATGGGGAACATTTTTGTGAAGAAGCCCAAGATCACTGAGGTCGATCGCGCCATTCTTACCCTGAAGACTACACGTCGAAAGCTAGCACAGTATCAGCAGAAGGTTCGTTGCCTTTTTTGCTGTCTCACGTCTCGTGAATTTTTGACATTTCATTTTTGCCTTGTTGTGACGTTTGCTTATGGTGTTTTGATTACTATGGGGTATCAAATTCTCAGTTGTCGATGTTTCTTTGAAGTTCCAACCTCTGTTAACTCTGCTATTTACGTTCCTTGCTTGCCAATTCTCTTCTTTACAACAAAACAGAATCATATTCTTAAAATCCTGAAAAAACCAGAATTTTAGAAATTTTTCTAAAACTAGGAGATTATGCTATGACATGTGTACCAAATGCAGGAAAATTGGTCAATTATGGAAAAGATTATTGATGAATATTTAAACATCATCCGGATCATAGATTGTTGGTTAAGTGGGCTCCAATATATGTGTTTTTGGCTGTCAAAGGCTGAATAAATAAGAAAGCAAGGAAATCATTTTATTTTTGCCCGAATTCTTTTTTGATTCATTTTTCTTGTTCCCATTTATCTTATTTCAAGTATTTATGCTTGTAAAAGATTTTACATATTCTTTTTCGTAGCCCACCTCTTCCCTATTCTTTGTTTTTGCTAAATATTCATTTTCTTTCTTATCAGCTTTTTTTTTTCTCGCATTGATTATTTAATTAGCTTATAATCTCTGTTCTCTTAAAGTTGAATTTTTGCGATTAGGTTTCCTATAAAACACTCTTGATTTGTGCATACCTTTGATATAATACAGTCTTTTTTTTTATCTGTATCGAATCTGCTATAAGCTTTGAAAACTTCTCTATATTTTGTTTTTAACTGTCCATTTGTTGATTTTTTTTTTCTTTCAAATGGGCATGGTAGTTTTCTGCTCAAATGATTTATAACCAGGGATAAATCTTGTTCCATTCAGTTATATTTTTCAGTTTTTTTTTGTTTTTTTTAAGCCATCATATCACTGTAGGAACACTTTGGGTATACATGTAAAATTGGAAAACAAAACTGTTAGTGTTGTACACTCATTTGTTTCAAATGGTAATATTGATTATGGATTAATGCTATACGTCTTTGCTAGCGTCTTATTGCATTTGGTTGTAAGATCTGAGGTTAAGTTTCATAGATTTGATTTGGCCTTTTTTTTTTATTGATTGTAAGGCTTGCTTGACACCTTTTGATCTTTCAAGTTTTCCGGTTCAATACTTTTACAACCTTTTTGCTTGTGTTGGTGACTCTCCTTGAATGGTACCGTCTGAAAATTTGGGATATGCAGTCAGTTTTATTTTTGCTACTTGCTTTAGTTGCTGAAGTAAACAGATCCAACATAGTTCTAGATGTGAAACTTGTGCCTTCTCCACTATTTCTTCAAGATGTTATTGATTACTGCATTTGATTGCTTTTCCACCTTGATGTTATTATTGTAGTTCTTCAAGATGTTCTTGATTACTGCATTTGATTGCTCTTCCAGCTTGATGTTGTTATTGAAGCTGAGAAGCAAGCTGCAAGGGAACTACTTCGACAGAAGAGGAAGGATAGGGCCTTGATAGCTTTGAAGAAGAAGAAGGTCCAGGAAGAATTATTGAAGCAAGTTGATACCTGGCTCATTAATGTCGAGCAACAGGTATAAAATAAATTCTTAGCAACACAATTGTCCTTTTAGTTTTCATTTAGAGTACCAATTAGTTAGAATTTTCTTATTTGTTATGTATTGATTGTTGACTTATAGTTGGCAGACATTGAACTAGCTAGCAAGCAGAAGGCTGTATTTGAAAGTTTAAAGGCAGGGAATAATGCTTTGAAAGCTATTCAAAGTGAAATAAACTTGGAAGATGTCCAGAAATTGATGGATGATTCTGCTGAGGCAAAGGCATATCAAGACGTGAGTTTGCTTTAGATCTTTGCTTTTCCCACTCTGTTATGTTTGAAGCTTTGCTACACTTCTGCGTAAATTGCTGCAATTAAAACATGTTTCATTCTATGAATAGGTTGGCCTGATTTTGTGTGATGACGTGGATAATAGTTAATATAATTAATCAACTCTCAACAAAAAGAGTTTCACCCAAGCCATGGAATTTAGATATATAAATTTTAATGAACCTTATATTAGCTTCTTTGATATTTGTCAAAGGCTGACCAATTATTTTTTTTACCTTTTTAAACTCTTTTCTATAGTTTGGTACAATTTAAACACATCATTAGGATGAATGACTGTAAGAAGTAATTGTTTTGAGACAAAGCGCTTCCTTTTTAGCACGTTCTCATTAATTTCCCTAGGTTTGATGTGAAATATTGTCTAAATACTTTGTATTTTGAGGTTAAAGAGAGCTCCCAAAAGTCAATTTGTAGTTTCTGACCTAGGAAATGTGTCCATTTTAAGATGGTCCTTGTAGAGGATAAATGGCCAAAGTCTTTGCTTACCCTTTTTCACTGCCAATTTTCTTTGGTATGGGTATCTGGTTTACATGCTAAATTGCTAATGGTTGTAGTTCTGCAATGAAGATTGATTTCTACACTTTCATGTATAATCTCACCCGAGTCTGCTCTATTTATCTGGTATAGCTTGGAGACTTGAAACTTCTTTTAACGAGGTACTAAGAATAGATCTGTAGAATAAATCCATGCTGCACAAGACTTTTGGGCCTTTTTACTATAAGTTTGAATGCTAAAGTCAAGAGTTTGAACTAAAATGACAAGATATCCTCTCTCTTTTGGAAAAAAGTTCATTTACTTTAACTATAAAGCACAAGCAGAGAAAACAAAAAAAATTCAAACTTTCAACTTGAATTGCAAAATCCCACTTCTTATCACTCCCTTAAGGCTAGCTCTCCCAGGAGAAGATACCTCATTTAATGATTCCCATTCAACATGCTCTCCATTCACCCTACTTATTATGGAATTTTAGCATCTAATAATCCCCTTTTGCGCCTCATCCCATTTTCTATCATGAGTTAGATCAATACTTTTCTTGGCTTTTTTACTTAGAAGAGATAGATAGAAATGGATTTGGTTTACCCTACTTATTCCACATTTTTATTGTGTCCCCCTGTTTGCCTTAGTTATCAGCATTATAGGTTTCTTTCTGGCACAGAGTTCCGGGAAATATACCTTCATATGCTAAACTAGTTTTCTCAGATATTTGTTTGTAGGACCTGGAAATTGTGCTATTTTCGTGTCATGAGAAAAAATGACATGTCCTTAATTTCCAATTTACATTTACGTCTTCCTATAATTATCCTTCTTATATGTCTGACTTTTTCGGCAGAAACAACATGACCATACCTATATTTTATTTTTTAGTGAATTTCATTTCATTCTAAATGCCATAGTGTCTCCATTGAGCACTTGGCATTCCCCACAAAATATAATTTTAGGTCACGTTTTGTTGTATTTGTATTAGAACCTTATATCTTAGCTGTAGGTTTTCAAAATAAATTTTGGGTACTTAAATTGAATGAAGTGTTATGACTGGGATTTTATTTATCACTACATAATTTTTTTTTGTGTGTGGTTTATTCATTTATGTATAACTATTTTCGATTATTCATCGTTCAGTAACGTCATATTTAGCTATTATTAAAAAAAAAAGCTGTTATTTAGCTCCCGTTAGCCATGTCATTCTCTGCCAGTTGTTTTGCTGTACTATTCAGTCTCATATAGCCACGTCTTGATCCCAATTTTCTTAATCTTTCTATACTTCAACATCTGGCAATTAAAGTTATATTTTTCGTATAAATCAGATATTGTTGACAGGTAATTGTAAATTCGCTAAACCTAGCTTATATTTTATTTGGAGAACTTTGCTGTATGTTTAGCATTGCTCACTTGACGCTTGCTTCTGAGTTTTTGAATTATATCTAGAAAAACTGCAGTATTTGTGGAAATAATCAGTAAAATTTGATGGGAAACAGTAACCATGAGTGAGAATTATATATCCCAGCAATGTTTGTGAAATCGTACCATCTCCAAGTTGCAGAGCACCTTTGAACTCATTTTTAACAAGAACATCTAGGAATGGAATTATTCTTGCTTCATTATCTTTTTTGGAGTTGCGAAGATTGTAAGGATTATGTCCATGGGTTCTAATTCATATTCACCCTATTTGATTTTGGCTTTTTACCTCTCTTTTTTTGTGTAAGAAGGCTAGTTTTGGTTGGATCGGTTCATTGTAGTAGTAACCATTGCTTATTCAATTTTGAGCATGAATTCTTTCATGTGAAATCTTTTTTCTTCTCTTTGTCTGAATGTTTTAGGATAATGTATTAGATTTTTACTTTATTTTTTTAATCGAAGGTGAAGTTTTTTTTTTTAATCTTTGGTTTTATGTTATGGTACTTCATTCTGGTTTCCTTTGTTGTTCGTTTTTTATGAAATGATCAGCATGTTCTAGCTTCTTTGGGTTGATAGTATGGTTTATCATAGTTGTAGGGAATTATGCTTTATAAAGACAAATGCCATTTCAAAGAAAGTGATTGAAATATGAAATGATTTTATAAATAGAAAGCCGATCAAAGATTTTAATTGATGATGTGAAAGATATAACTTTGAATGGTTGTTTTGTGTTGCTACTTATATTCTTTATCTGTTTTGTGGCTCAATGTGCTCTAGTTGAAAATGTTTTCAAGATAAACTGATTGAAACATGAAAGAATTTATGGTATTAAAATCCAACGAAGATATGAATCTTTAGTCTCTGGTGGAATGCATTACCAAGCACACATTTAATCTTACTCGCACGCCATTGTTATTGATATGAAATGGAGCTTCATTCTGAGGCTCTTCTTTGGTCATTGAAGGAAATAAATGCAATTTTAGGGGAGCGTCTTTCTGTTGAAGATGAGGAAAATGTTTTGGCTGAATTTGAAGCATTGGAAACTGAGGTATGTCTGCTATCCTATTCTCTGTATATTTTTTAAGTTTTGTAATATTGTAATTGCAGAAATTGTTAACTAAAAGCATGCCACGTTGGCTTTATGTCTTCCACAAATTATAACCCTGAAAATTAGCTGCTTTCTTTATAAACTTAAGAATTTTTAAGAGATTTATTCTGTAGTAATGCTCTATAAACTTAATATTAAATTCAAAGATCATGAACTGAATGATTGTATATCGTGCAAGGGGCATAAGCAACCTCCTTGAATCTTTCTATAAAATGGTTTTATTCGTCCAACATTGCTTTATCTGCTAAATTCAGTGAATCTGCTCTTATTTCCATATTCTGGACTTGAAATGAAATCACGTTCAAACTGAAGGAAACTTAATGCAAATAAATTAGGAATCTTTAATTTAATCAATTATTCAATCAAATTGTAAGTCTCCTATTTATAAAGTGTTATTAAGCTATTATCAAATCAAATTGTGTCAAAATCTAATATAAATCTTTATAATTTTTACTAGTCATATCATTTGAATAAAGGTAATCCCAATAATAAAATAAAATATAGAAATACACCTAAAATAATTTAAATGGGAGAATATTCTTAAAAATAACCAAGACTTTATTCTTAAAAATAAAGGTAATCCCAATTTAATTCGCATGGGATACCATAGATCTCTTCTCTGTAAGTGGTATGCATTAGCTCTTTTCATGGAATTATGGTTTCTATAGCGGGGCTGTAGCTGCATTATGAATATCTCTTGAATCTTCGACATGTGTAGACATGATGCATGGCATCTAATTTGGAGACTTTAGATTTAAGTATCATGCAAAATTCAGTAGTCACATGTTGGTAGCTATGGTAAGACAAACTCAATTTGCAATTGTATCTATGCAATATCGAGATTATCATGTATAAATATTTCAATTGGTGGTGGAGAATTTAAACATCCCCATATAGTTTATCATTATTTATGGCAACTTGGTGAAAGCCATGGGAAGATAAAGTTGACCTTTGAAGTGTATAAAAAACCATTTACAAGAAATTAGGGAACATTCTATCACTATTCATAGGGATTTAGGAGCAACAATGATGGCTAAATACTCCTGAAATTTAGGTGCTATAACTGTCTAGTAAATTTCTTCTCTGACCAGAAAAGTTATCTTGTCTAGTCCGATTAGAATGATTTGTCTGCTGTTGGCCTCTATAATACATTAATACTTTTGCCTCATTTAATTATAAATTACTATTTGAAATTTGAGGCACAATTTTTATGTGCTTGTAATGAATGTTAAAGAAGTCCACGATTCATATAATTGGTGCGCTTATCATTGTTTCAATTTAGAAAATTATTTGTTGTTTCAATAATTCTATGTATGGCTTCAACATCTGTGGAAAGATGGGATATTAGATATGTTTTTCTTTTCAAAATAGCTTTTGCTAGCCAGAGTTTTACTTCATTAACATCTGAAGGAAGATGGGATATTAGATTTGTTTTGATCACAGTTCTATTACTTGTAGAATAACGGACCAAAACGTGATAATTTACCTTTCCACTTGGCAGGTTACTCTTGAAAGTTTGCCAGAAGTTCCGGAATCAGCAGAAGCTAAGGTTTCTGAAAACTTAGCTGAAGCAAAACAACCTCCGGTTGGTGAGATTGCAGAAAACAGCGACGAAGAAGATCTAAAGCTTCCAGATGTACCTACCAAGCCAGTTACTGCCGCGGTGAATGAAGCTACTACAGAAAATATCTCAAATAAAGCACCTAATAGAACAAAAGGTTTCTTTGTTGATTTTAAGAAAAGGCTATTAATTATTTATTCACTTTTCCATTATCTAACCGCTTCTTATGAATTATATAATTGCAGTTCTAGAGGAACCACTGCTTTCCTGAGAAGAGGCGAGGGATTTAACTTCATTATCACCTTCCTATCATTTGTTATATCCATATTTGTAAAGGAGAAGAAGGTAGTTTCCTGAAATACTACTCTGTTGTCCCTTCACGTGTATCCAGGTATCTAAAAAATGTTATCACCAATTTGCAATGAACTCTATTTTTGGACAATTGTATAGGCGTTGGACTTTTTTGTTTTGGGCAGACACCGGATGGAAAGAATCGACCGATTTTCTCGCTGCCCATAGTAAAAGCGCATCTGCTACCGTAACTGCGCTTTGACTATAGACAAAGAGAAAATCGGATGATTCTCTCCGTCCAGTGTTTGCACATAATAATCTCTCATAGGTGTTGGATGCACTTGATTTTGCATCCAGTTTATTGGAATTTGCTTAGAATTATTGGTTTGTATTGATTATTTGTTCTCTCATGATTCCCTGTAAAATAAAAAATATGCGACCTGCTTGCTGCTACTAACTCTGCTATTTTTTAAGTTAAAACAAGTAGTAAGGAAGGGGAATGCTCACACACCCTAAGCAGTTGAAGAACTTTTCAGAATTTTTTTTTTTATATTTAGACCAATTAAAGTAAATTTATGCACACATCACATACGCAAGATCTGAATACAAGATCTATTAGCTTGTAGTCAAAGCTCCTAACCAATATATCATTGTTTTCTTTTTATTTATTTTTTTATTAGATCTTTAGGCCAATTAAGTCAAATTCACACACATATAATATATACAAGATTCAAATCCAAAATTTTGTTAAGATGATGAAAACATATAATTAAAAAATAGATATTGACATCGAGATATTAATACATGGGGAGTTCGGACACAAAAAATCGTTCGGTTTTGTAATTGTGAATAGTAAAAGCGTAGGCGTGAATAGTAATTGTGTTTTTATTGTTTATAGTTATAAAATCGAACGATTCTTTGTCTCCAGACTCCGCACTACTTGATGTCATATGTATTTTTTACTGAGCATTATTAAGAAATTTTCCTTTTGGAAGTTCATAAATAATAAGAGAATTTTATTCATTTTTATATATTTAATGTACTTTAGGGATAGAGGGATACATGGAGTTCAACATAATAATAATAAAAAAATATTCGATTGAATTTGTTTATATTATTATTATTAAATTTGTTGAAGAGATGAAATAAAACAAAGCTTTTTATTTTTGAAAGAGATTTAATGTGTGTTTATTGAGCAAACAGCTCCATACATGAATGGATCAAACCAAATTGAATCAAGCAATACACGAACATAGCAATATCGGGTTTCCGTTCCGGGTCGGGTCGTTGTGCCGCGCGGTAAAGAGTAAGAGCACGTGACGACATTTTATTGACGTCCGGATGTAGAGCTACGTCAGGTGTCCGGACCTAATAAAAATTCTACACACCATTATTGAAATATTAGTTTTTTAAACAAAAATCATACATATACTAATTCAAAACCAATCCATCAAGCAATCAAACCTCGCACTTCAATTCTATAAAACCATTAAGCGCTTATTCCCGCATACAGACATCACACGTATAACCACCTTACACACATAAACTGATCATGGTTGCCTCCCCAACGAAAGAGAACGAATATACTCCTTGACAACCTCCTGTATCCTTCTCTTCATCAACCGATCCTTCACCGCAGAAAGCATGCCCTCATAGAACATCTTCAGCCTGGCAAGCTCGTCTGTGTCGGCAGCCTCCATCACATTTTCTAACTCTCTTTTGATATCAAACACTTCAGAATCATACAGTGACTTCGGCAAGTTCCTCTGATCAAGAGATTTCCTAAAGATCGAGACATGGAGCACTGTCGCATACCGCTCCATTAGCGTCAGCTTCTCGCGAAGAACACTCAATTCCTCCATTGCCGATGTCTCCGAACTACTACTCCCGCTTCGATGAAAACTAGCCTTGCTTTCATAGTTCCTCTTCAAGCCTGCTTCGAGTGATGGCCACATCAAAGGAACTGGGACAAAGCTATCGGCAGTTTGACCTCTCCCAAGCACGCCACTTCGTCCCCTTCCCCAAGCCCAGAGCTTTTCTCCATCGCCTGCAACTAGAACAGTATGCGCAGCCCCACATGCCAGTTGCACTGGAACAGGAAATAGACCTCCAGGTGTCTCACTGCAACGATGCCTTATGGGGAAGAGAGCATCACCAGCATTGTCTCCTGCCAAGCTAGCATCAGGGCACAAGCCAAGACCCTTCTCCATTCCCCAGGACCAGACTTCTCCGCTTGCAGAGAGGACCGATGTGTGGAACAGTCCACAATCGAGAGAAATCAAAATGGTTTCCATAGGCAATCCATCAACAGGTTCAGGTAATGATGTGCTCATTGCAGTCCCGTGGCCAAGCTGCCCATTCTCGCCTAGGCCAAAGGTCCAGCACCTAGATTCAATCTCCTGGTCGTATGACTTCTTATGTGTGAGAATGGCAGTGTGGAAGGCTCCACAAGAAATCTCATAGATAGCCCAAGGGGAATCCTCACCAAATGTTGAGATGGCTTGTGGGCGAGCCCTGCCTTCCTTGTCACCTAAACCAAGTTGCCCATGGTTGTTGTTGCCCCACGCATAGCACACGAGATCAGTGCCACTAAAGTTCTCGCCGGCACTAACGGCGGCCACCACATGCTCATTTCCACAGGCCACTTTGACGACGGTATGGCCATGAAAGTCCCAAACGGGTAAAGGAGAAGAGCTGCTCACTAGGCTGAAAATCTCTTCTTCAGTGCTGCTAGGCTGAGGGCTGTTGCCCCATATCCACAAAGCCCCAAGGTTATCAATGGCAAGCGACATCATTCCTCCAGCTTTGATAGAAGAAACCTGCAAAAATTGCAAATTTTAGATTGATGAAATCATGTTTGGATTCAAGCACTTTTACTGAATATAACCTACCTTCAAAGGAGTAGTTTGGCGGTTTGCATTTTGATCCCTTGACAGGGAGTTTGGCGCACCCAACTCTTTGAACTGCTCTATGATTTTTGGCACTGAAGAATTCTCTTCACCATGGCCGAGCTGGCCATCCATAAATTTGTCAAGGAAAGTGATTCTTTATTAGAATGGAACATTCTCTTAGTGAATCCTGTATTGATTGATTCATCCATTTATGGCATGATTAAATGAAAAAGGATACAGATGTTATAACCCCATGACCAAACTGAACCGTCATCTGCCATATGAGTAAGAAATTGAAGTTAACATACCAAACGATGCCAAGATTGTATGAGATTTTGCAGCAGACAATAAAGTGAGTTGTGAAAGAAAACTAGTGCTACTAAATCGTAAAATTACCTAGGACTAGTGAAGATAATAATCATATAACAAGTTTTAAAAAATGTTAAAAAAAAATGAATGTTATACGTAGGTTTCGCTGGCTCTCGATCTCCCTTGCTTGCTGATCATATCCGAACTCTAACTTGCACAAACTTGTCTTCCTTCTTCCTCCCTTTTTCCTTCTCTTTCTCTCTAGTTTTTCCCTTCTCCTTTTTCCACTTGGCACAGCTTCCTCTCATTTAAAGCCTATTCGGTTCAAAAAAAGGGAGCAAATCACAGTTATTTTACACGAGGAGTCGCTACTTTTTCCCTCATACGCGATCCTTTGCTCAATGGCGCGATTCGTCTCCATTCTGGGTAGCTCGCACATGCGGACTGTCCGATCCGCTCACGCCCTCCCGCTTTGTTCATCTCTGCCTGTTTTATTAACTGGTTGGGTTTTTTTTTTTTTTTTTTTTTTTTTTAACTGGTTGGTTCACATACCGGTTCTTACACTTTACCCAAGTTAGCTCCTTTGCTCTTGGTTGGATATTCTCCTTCTTGTGTTCTTTGCTCACTTGCACCTTGATCCTCTCCTTGCTTGATTGCCTCTGTGAAAGCTTCCTTCCTACTTGATGAATGGACCAAGATCCTTCTCATCTTTTTCTTGGCTCAAGGTAGAGAAAGAATTAGAGAGAGAGGGAGAGGAACTTCTAATGAAAGAGAAACGACAGCTTGGACTTGGAGAAGGTTTACCTAATGTTGGTTAAATTTTGCAAGTAAACTAATGTTTGGTCAGCTAGAGAGAGCAGGGGAGTGGAAAGACATCAACATGCCATGAATTTCTTTCATGGTTGAATTCATTCCTTGGTTGAATTTGATTGGAATTGATTTAGCCTACATACAATCTATTATATTCAGACTCCTAAATGCATAGTTTTAATAAAATCTAAATAATGATATGACTAATTCGTTATTACATGCATGCATGAGATAAATTATTAGATTGGATAATTCTTATTACTTGCAAGAGAATTCTTATTAACAAGGATTAGCATTAAGCCCATATCTTTTTGCTTTAGTCATGGATGTTCTCACTAGACATTTGCAAGAGGATGTACCTTGGTGTATGCTTTTTGCTGATGATATTCTTCTTGTTGATAAGACTAGAAAGGGAGTTGAAGGTAAACTTGAATTATGGAGGTCAACCTTAGAGTCTAAAGGTTTTCACTTGAGTAGATCTAAAACTGAATATATGGAGTGTAATTTCAATAGAATAGACCTAGTGAGGGGATTGTGACTTTGGGAGATCAAGTTATTAATAAGAGTACATATTTTAGATATCTTGGATCTATTGTTTTGATTGATGGTAAAATAGATGAGGATATTATCAGCAGAATTCAAGTTGGATAGTTGAAATGGAGGAATGCATCGGGCTTGTTGTGTGATAGAAAAGTCCCCCTCAAACTTAAGTGAAAATTCTATAAGATAGTGGTGAGACCTGCAATGCTTTATGGTGCCAAATGTTGGCCATTAAAAGAGAAGCATAATACTAAGTTAAGTGTTGCAGAGATGAGGATGCTCAGGTGGATGAGTGGCTTTACCCTTAGAGATAGGATACGAAATGAGCATATACGTGAAAATGTTGGAGTAGCACCAATGGAAGATAAGATTAGAGAGAGTTGCCTTAGATGGTTTGGTCACATAAAACGACAGCCTTTCGATGACCCGGTTAGGAAAGTAGAGGTATTAGAGTTGACTTATGTTAAGAAAGGTAGATGTAGACCTAAAAAGACTTTGTTAGAAAATATTAGAAATGATATTTAGTTATTAGATTTAAATGAGAATTTGAATTTTAACAGGACAAAATGGATAAAAAAGATTTATATAGTCAACCCCACATAATGGGACAAAAGCTTGATGTTGTTGTTGTTGGATAATTCCTATTATTTTGATAATCTTATTCATTTATTTGAATAATTTCTTCTACGTTATGATAAATCTTTTAAATTTAAAATGCAATCTCTTTTCTCCTTCCTCATGGTCGTTGAACCATGCTTATAAGGGAGAGGTTTTTGGATTTTAAATTCAAGCTCCTCTTGAATTAAAAGTTGTCCGCTTGTAGTGTCCTTGTAGCCTTGTATGCTCCATCAATCCAATTAGATTTTTGTGTTTAACCTAAGTTTGACTAGGCATCTAACTTGAGTTTGGGCCTAACTTATGCCCCAGCGGCGACTCCAACAAACTTAGGTTCCCCTCTTCCTCCACTTCCTCCCCTGAAGGATACTCGGACAGGGGAAAGCTCGTCCGTCTCTTTCCCTGTACCTAATCGTCCAAAAGTGCCTCTTCCCCATGAAAATACACTACCGTCTCCTGAGATTCCAAAAATCTAAATTACCTTTCACGCCAATTAACAACGAATTGCATCCTTTCTCTTCTCAGAGTGCAGAAGAACAAAATTCCCAAACCAGTGAGGGAGAGAAAGTGAAACCAGTGAGAGCGAGCGTATGGGCTTCGCCAGCTGCGATGCTTACGACCTTCTTCGTCATCCTGACGATTCCGATGAGCTTGCGGTTGAGACCGTCGTCTGTGGTCGACGACGAGAAGAACAACCTGAACGTGAGATTCGGAAATCAGTGGACACATTTATAATATATCAAATGGTTTGACACGTGTAGGATAGATTTTTTTTTTTGGGACATTTAGACCATTTAAGGCAAACTCATACACACAACGCATACACATGAACTCGAACCTTGGACCTCTTAGTTAGAAGCCTAAGCTCTCAACCAATAGGCCAAGAAGAGTTGTGTACGTGTAGGATAGATAAAATGTGCCTCACTACTTATGCAAAGACTGAAAGATTACTAATTTTGCAAAAAAAAAAAAAAGTTTGTTTTTATTTTTGTGTTTATTTTATTTATATAATTTATATTATTTTAAAATGTATAAACAGAATGTTTAATTTTTTCTTATATTAGTAAATAATAAATTTTAAATATATACCTCAAATTTATGATTTAAAAAAAAAAATTACTCTAACGGTTAACTCATGATTTATTTCACATAAAAAATATTTAATATGTGCTGTTCATGTTATATTTATATCATATCATTATATCAAAGTTTGAAAACTGAGCATAAAAATATATAAATATTTTTAGCATACAAAAATATTGTGTGAATTACTGTTTATAAATTAATGAAAATAAGTAAAAGTAATTTAGATTTGAACATCTTTAATCAAGTTTAGCAATTAAATTTATTTTAAAATAAACATTATATAAATTATAAATATTTAATTATATAAAAAAATCTACCATGAACTCTTTTTAAATGATGAAAATAATCTTCAATTATATAAAATATTTATTTTGTGTATTCCTCCTTTACATACCAATCAAAATTATTTTAAAAGATCAATATAAAAATTTTAAATAGTAAAAAATTATTTTAATCTATATAAAAAAATAAAAAATCTATTTTTATTTTTATCTCTAATTGTATATCATACTCAAGCTAAAATAAATATATATTTTATGTTACGCATTATTGGCAATAAAATTAATTCCAACTTTATGTATGCTTTCACCAAACGTATTTAGCCACATGGATTGTTCCCCGGCAGCTTCGAAATTATTTATGGGTACAGGTAAGGTAGCCTAACGTTTCCTAACGTGAAGAAATTCTCCTTGCTAGTTGCTAACATGGATAAATTCTGCTTTGCTACGCAACCGGGTAGGACCGTAAAAATCCGTCGCAAATGAGGCCTAAATCATTAATGGCTCTCTATTTATTAATTTATATGTAATATTAGATATTTTAGGTTTTATTTGAAACTACTTTTTACTGTGTATTTTTTGAATTTTTATTAGGTTCGGACACCTGATGTAGCTCTACATCTGGACGCCAATAAAATGTCGTCAAATAAATAGAAAAACTTACAAATTATAAAAGCTCTTTATGAAATGCCTAAGAGATAGAAAGAAAAAGACATTATAAAAAGCTCAAGCAAATAAGGATACATGATGACGAATACTTTTGTTTTCTCTAAAACTCTTCCACAATAATTTTATAAAGAAAGCCTTTTAATTATTGCATTCATAAAAAAATTCAACTATTTATAATTGGATAATATTGCGTTAATATCCCTAAAAAATATTATTAAAAAATGATTTAAGTATTAAATATTCCTAAAATCATTCAGAAAATAAGTAATATTTTTAAAATACTAATATTCATATTTATTCATGGTTGAGTTAGGCTGAATAATTCTAAAATTATTCTTGAATCAAATTAAGGTTGTTGGAAAATACTAATGATAGGCCACAAAATAACATCAAATATTTATTCCCTCAAGAGGAATTTAATATTGCAAATGATCTATGAATCAAAGCGCAATATGAGCTCCATTAATTTCAGGATGAAGTTGAGATCAAATTTATGGTCACAAAAATTTGCCATATTAGGCTTAGGGTTGCAAACGAACCAAATATTTGAGGAGTTACTCGTTGCTCGATTCGATTAAAGCTCATTTGTGATCGTTTAAATAACTAAACAAGCAAACTTGAACAACATTTTTAATACTCGGTCATTAAATAAACAAGCTTGAACACTAATGTGTTCGGTTCATTTATGTTCATGAACAACTCATTTGAAGCTTGTGAACAAGCTTGACATTAAGCTCGATAAAAGCTCCATTCGTGTTCGATTTAGAACTCGTGAATAAGCTCGATAAAAATATTCATATAGATTAATCATATTTTTCATTTTAAATAAACAACTGCTTTTATTATAAATTTAATTTCATTTTATTTTACACCTTTAGTAGAATAATTTTGTTCAAGACCAAAAGACATTTCATAGTTGTCAATGTTTGCTAGATTATTTATTTAAAATGTTCATGAACAAATTTAAGATGAATCATAAATCATTTGTTAGTGAACGAGCTCATTTGGTAGCTTGAAAATACTAGTTCTGTATATATTCATGATCTTACTCATTTGATAGCTCAAGAATACTCACTAAATTTATTCATGAACATGCTTGTTTGATAGTGTAAAAAAATTCGTTAAATATGTTCATGAACATAGCCTGTTAATGAAGGTGTTTGTTTAAAGCTCGATAAGCACTAAATGAATCAAACATGAACCAAACATGAACACTATTAATTTAAACGAATCAAACATGAATACAAATAATAAAGCTTGAATCAAACATGAACCGAACAAGCTAATAATAAATGAACTCAAACATGAACACTCACATACGGCTTGATTTGATTCATTTGCAGCCCTATTATTTAGGCTTCCAATTTTTTTTTTTTGGGTTCAAAATTTTTGTTTTATTTAAAGCAATCCAATGACGTGAATACCTTGTGAATCAGTTCTATAATGGTCACAAGAGGTCTAACATGTTTAGATCTAAATGGATAAATGATCAAAATTTGATGAGCTTTAGAATGATTTGAGGCCATAGGATGATCACTCATGGAGGATGGGTGGTTGAGATCAGCCCTCCAACCAGTTGGTGTGTGATGCTGGTGATCCCCAATCAAGTGCTTTATAACTTATGAAAAAGGGGCTTGAATTGATTGATCCATGACCCAAATGCTTATGAATTTAATGTTTTAATGTTATTTGAATTATTGAGATGAGTTAATCATTTTGATTATAATTTTGCAAGATTTAAAGTCCTTTTACTAATCCAAATAATTTTCAGAAGTTATTGGTTCAACTTTGCATGCCTTAATATTCATAATTTTTTCAAAAGTTACGCTCAATCAGATGAAATATGTGAAAACATGATATTTTGATTCATTTTAGTGTGAAGTTGAGAAGATAAGTAATCAAAGTACGAATAAATATTCTATTCATTAAAATAGAAACTAACATTAATTACCAATTTGTAAGAGTTTACGTGTTTTTATTTATGTCCAAATATCCTATACTTTTGAGCATTATTATCCATATAAGTTTGATTATTTGTCTACTCATCCTAATATAAAAAAAATGTTAGAATATTTTAATATAAATTTTTCATATGTGTGAACTAAATTAGTGTATGATTTTACCTTATTTGGTCAAATTGGAGATGAACAAACTCAAAATAAGTTCATCTATAATGTTTAATATGTTGCACCGAGTTCTTGGGCATCTAAATCGATCAAATCAATAGCTTAGAGGGTTCTAAACTAACTAGGTCTCTCTTGCATCTAGCCTCTCCAAACGAAACAATTATTAGGTCCGGACACAGGACGTAGCTCTACATCCGGAGGCCAATAACATGTCGCCATGTGCTCTTACTTTTTACTGCGTGACCCAACGACTCGACCCGGACCAGAACCAGGTATTGCTATGTTCGGGTAGTGCTAGGTATTGCTCGGTATTGCTTGACAATAACGAGAAATACCACTTTGTCAAGATCAAAAACTAGCAATACCGAGCAATACCTAGCAAAACAGAGGTATTGCTCGATATTGCTAGGTATTGATCTTGACATAATGATATTTCTTGTTATTGTCGAGCAATATCGAGAAATACCTAGCAATACCCTGATCTGCACAAATCAGCCAATACATAACAATCCCGGGTCAGGTCCGGGTCGGGTCGTCGGACCGCACAGTAAAGAGTAAGAGCACGTGGCACCATTTTACTGGCGTCCGAACGTAGAGCTACATCAGGACACCAGACCGAATAAAAATTCCTCCAAACGTATAGATGTGGCAGTCTTAAATTATTTCTCTCGAAGAAATGAGTTGATTCATATGAAAATGACTATTTAACAACTTAGTCAATTTGTTTGAGAGATGATGAATATTTTTTAGTTATGTCAGATGTGCATATGATGGCTTTAACAATTTCATCCACCTTATAATTTCTTGAAACTAAGGTAGGAGTTTGATTTCCTGAGCCAAAATGGAGTCATTATATTAGAGGGATTGAAAGCTCTCTATACTTTGTTATCACATAATCCAAATTTCAAAGGTTAAATTCTATGCCCTTCTCAATAAGGCTACAATAGATACTTTCAAACTCAAAAATAAGTTAAGAATCACATAAGCACAACAGGAATATTCTTAGAGCATGTTATATTGCATTAACATTGAGAGGACCAAGAATATATGACATTAAGATTTCGTTTGGGATGGCTTTCTTACTATTTCTTGAGTTAGCTTTCTACTATAAATTTTTTAATTTTTTATTAAAAAGTTGTTTAAAAAACAACAAGAAAGCCATCCCAAACAAAGGTTTCGTTTGAGACTGCTTTCTTATTGCTTTTCTAAAGCGAGTTTCTAGTACAAAAATTTCTAGTTCAAAAAATTTTATACTAAAAAATTACTTTAAAAAATAGTAAGAAACCTGGCCCAAATGAAGCCTTAGTGTCATTCTCCTAAAAAGTCAATTGAGTGCAATTCAGTTATGGCATGTAGTTCAAAACAAAGAAATGCAAAGTCACTCATCATATTGAGAAACAAATGTTTTGTATATGAAAAACATCACAGCTCCACTAATTCAACCCATACAAAAATCATTGCATGCAACACTCAGGTTTCGTTTGGTTATTATGTACTTTTGTAAAAGGCAGTTTTAAAAAATAATGGCTCAGAAAGATGAGTTTTCTAACGGAGAAAGCACATATAAAAAGCTTTATCAAAACAACAGAAAAATTAAAAAATGTTATTATTAGGAACGTGGTTTGAGAAACCAAACAATAAAAAAGAAATAACGTTATCGTTTTTAAAAAGTAATAAGCACAAAAAACATCCAATCAAACTAGGCCTCAACAAGTAACAATGATAACATACACCCAGCACATTCATTAAGGGATAAAACTAAGATCCAGAGTTAAACTTTACTTAACAATTATTGTGTAAAATAAACATAACTATCTTGCAGTTCAAAACCAGTAATCTTATATTTTTGAAAGAAACTCAATTCAGAATACTCACAGCCAAATTTTTATTTTCCACATGATCATATATCTGCTTCAAATTTGAGCAGGTCAATCCTGAGAATATAGCCTTTAGAAATCGAGCCTAGATAGAGATGCTTCCCCACTTTTAGTCCACATGTGACGGAGGGCAAATCTCGATCTGAATAAAGAGCTTTTAGTCTTCCTTCCAAATTTACACTTAACACACCACCTTCCTTAGGTGGGGGAAGACTCATCAGCTTAGAAAGAATCATCAAAAATTTTCTAAGTAGGGGATATTTCAATATCAGATCCCATAACTTGGACCTTCCCTGTAAAAACCAACAAGAAGCTTGGGACATTATAACTAATTTGGTTTATAAACTTTAGACTTGTTGCTTAAAAATTTTTTATCATGCAACATCAGCTGCTATGAAAAATGAAAGAACTTATTTTAATGCATTTAATCATGAATATGAGTTTGTTTGGGACGGTTTTCTTGCTGCTTCATAAAGCAACTTTCTAACAGAAAAAAAATATTTTTTTAACTAGAAAGCTGCTTTAAGAAGCAGTAGAAAAGTCGTCCCAAACAAAGCCTATATGTGAGATACCTTACCTTTTTTAACTAAATAACTTATTTTTATTTGAGCTGAGCTGGTTTATGTTTATCAGTAATTTGATTATATAAAATCCAAAAAGAGAAGGCATGAGTAATTACCCCACTTAACCCAATCCAATATTGACCTTCTCCATCATATTTAATGTTATCTGGATATCCTGGTAAGTTCTCAACAAACTTGTCAATTTCCCCTTTCTTCTCACCTTTAATGAAATATCTACTGCATCTTCTCCTGCATAAAGTAAAATGAAGAATTAAGCTTATAATAAATTTAGGAACTTTACAATGATGAATGAAGCGTGCGATTCTCTCCCTTGTTTTTGGCTTGTTTTGTATCTTTAATGTTAATTATTTAATTTGTTCTGTACTGATATTCCAACGGATAAAAATAGAAGAATCAATCCTTTTTTCTTATAAATGCAATACTTTGGCTCTGACTTCGTTTTGATCCTTACCATTTTGATTGTCTCAGTTAAGATTTAAAATTATTACATTTACATCCAAAATTGAAATAAAATAATAAAGAAAATCAAATTTTGTTCAAATGAAGACTGACTACTGACATGAGACCCACCACCCAACTTAATAGTAGCTCTATCAGAGTTATTGATGATCATAGTTTGAGTTGTGCCATATTGCATTTATTGTATTTAGGCTTCGTTTGAGACAACTTTCTTATTACTTTCTAAAACGGCTTTCTAGTACAAAAATTTCTTGAACTAGAAATATTTATATTAGGACTTTGCTCTACAAAGCAGTAAGAAAGCTATCCCAAACAAAACCTTAGGTTTTCATTTCACTTTGAATTAAAATAAATGATTAAAGAAGTACTTTGGATGTTTGGTCATGTAGAGAAGAAAGATTTGATACGAAAGACAATTATTTTTATTTCGTGTGTCCACATGTGATAGTGCGATATATAATTATAGCATCGAGAAATAAGTGGAAGGGGTGTTAACACGTAATTAATTGCTCTACCTAATAAAGAAATGATGTAGACACACAAGCAAGAAAACCGACACAAAGAGAACAGTGGATAGAAATGAAACCAAATTCTATTAAAAGTAGCAATCAACTAAAACGTTCAAAATCCAACAAGAAAACTCTAAGGGATTTTTAAAGAAATAAAGAGAAAAACAACGCTATCCTCAGACAACAGTCAGAGCGGGTTTCTCTCATGCATCGATTTGTAGGTTAAATAAGATAAGTGCATAGGACTAGCAAACCGATGGTCCACCACTGCAAGATCGTCCAATTCTTCCAAATCAACCAACAATCATCACCAAAGCTCAAGAAGAAGGATACAGATGAATTGGAACTTGCGGAGAGACGAAAGAGGTTAGAAGCCAAGACGAAAGGTTAGAAAGAGCTCGCAAGATTTCCGGAGGGGATGAGAAAGAAGAATGGAACAAGCTCGCAAGCTTTTCCAATAACCCGCAGGTCAATAGCAAATATGCTCAAATAATCAACTCCCTTCCTTCACAACAACTTCTCATATTTATAGGCAAGATAGGAGAATACCATTAGTCACATACATTAATTTTCCACAAGAACCCAAGCACCAAGTTTATGGAATTTCCCATTTGCTTTTCACGGAAAAACAGCCCAGCTTAAGAAACCGAAGGAGCAACCACAGGAATCAAGGAGGCCGCACGTGTGACACCCCAGGCATACATAGTGAAAGGATTCGTCTGACAGTCTCGATCAATCTCCATTCCTGCTCCCTTGCTCGGACCTGAAATTGTTAACCACATATAATGAGCTTCAAAAAGCCCAGCAGGTCACTAAAAACCTACAACTGAAATCAAAGTACGGTACAGAAGCAATATGCATGTCAATCAGTCGAATCTATAACAGTCAGTTGCACATGATCAGTGAATCAATGCAGATACGGAAATCAGTAGTTAATGCACATTCAATAAAATCCGTAGTCAGCAGTAGAAGAATCGTTAAACAGCAGGAAGAAATCCGTAAAGCTCAATAAATCAGTACATACGATAAATCTCGTAAGGATCCAATGAAATCTCGATCAAATCGGTAGAGGAAAATCATCGTCTCGATATCAGTTAAATCAATATCGAATCAATCAAATCAATCATCTTTGGTCAATATTATCAATCGGTAAAGAAAACAGAAATAGGATTCGGAGTCTTTACTGCAAGACGAACAAATCTTCTAACAACGACGACGGACGAAAATCGCTCCGCGGCCTCCGAAACCAAGCTTTTCATTTCTTTCCTTCTCTTTCTCTCTCCTGATTTCTCTTTCTCTCTCTTCAAATGAATCCAAAATATCTCTATCGGATATTTATTAACACTGATCGTCCCGGACGATCCAATTTCGTCCTGGGACGATTTGCCCTCTGGCAGAATTTCGTCCAGACGAAATTAAATAGCGTCCGGACGACTTGCTCTCTAGACAAATTTCGTCCAGACGGATCGTCCCGACCCTTCCAGGTTCGTACAGACGAAATTGACAGATTCTTCACAATTTTCTTCAGTTCGTCCCGTACTAAATCCAGTTCGTACGGACTAACTGCACTAAAAAAAATCAGCTTTGGAGGGGGTTTTACAGCACGGAACCAAGGCGCCAAAGCCACGGGAAACTTCCCCAGGCTCGGAAAACTAGCAGCCGATGAAGGAACTAAGGAGACAATGCTCGGAAACAGCAACCCCACATGAATTCAAGGCACAGAATTCAGCCATCGTTTAAAACAAGCCACGGGTTCCCAAGAGACAAGAAGAAACGGGAAGGAGAAGGGACAAGTCCACCCCAAAATTGAATCCTTCATAATGAGCAACCTTTTGAACATTAATGAGCTACTAAACTTCAACTCAAACAGCTAAGGGAATGAGCTCAACCCCAACTTTCTCCATTTATCACCAAAGGCTCCAAACAACTAACCCGTGAACCAGCAGCAACCAAAGGACCAATCGAGCCAGCAAACCAAAGGTCTACCAAGCCCTATGCACAACCTATCATGTTCATTGGATGCTTTCCCATCATTGGATAGCTAAAAAAAAAAACTTAAAATATACTATTGTTCAAATAAAAATAAAATTACAGAAATATTTGATAGCATAAAAAAAGATAAAAATAAGGAAAATTACAAATGCAAAAAATATTCATTTAGGAGTTTCTTCAAATAAACTCCTTCAAGATGGAGTCTTTGGAGATGACATCAATGTTGACATGTAATTGATTGAGACAAGAGGTTTGGTTTGAGCATTAGCAAGTTGGTCGGCAGATAAAATATCGTATACGTGAAGGGCGTCAGTTTGCAAAAGATGGGTGGTGGTGGAGAGGACAAGAGGCCAAAATGTAAGTGGCATATGTGCTTGATAAAGTAGAGTAAGATCTGTCTGAAAAAGATGAACATATTCACATAGATCATTATGTTTTGAAATGTGAAGACTGGTGAAATAAGCACTGCCAGCGGAGTCAAGAAAAGTTTTTAAAGCTATGTAATTTTCTAACAAGGCTTTAAAGTGAGAAAATGGAGAGAAACTTACATTTTTCTTAACATGATAGAGCTAGATGTATCCATTAAAGAGATCAACAACTACAACATAGTATTTGTAGTATTTATAAGAGGTTGTTAAACAGATATAAACGCCCAAAGTGGAGAAGTTCCAATGAAATAGAAGTAGTATTTGATAAGCATGAAAATGTAAATTATGAGTTTTATAATAACGACATGAACTACATATTAGAGCAGCAACACAAGAATACTTAATTTACTTAAATTGTAATCTGTAGCTTATATAGCATATAGCCTTTTATGTATCAAGTACAATCTATAAATACACATGTATCATATGAAGCAAATATGAAAATGAATAATATCTCTCTGTTTACTTTCCCTTTCTCACTTGTTTTCTTGTTCCTGTAAAGATTCAAAGATTACGTTTCTACACTACAAACTAACGGAGATACAGTTGATGAAGATAAAGATAGAATGCACTTGGACTCTTAAGTGGTGCAAAATGGCATAGGGGTCCCCATGACGAAGATGTTATTGATCGGTGAAAGATTTAGTGGTGAAGAAGGCAAGCACAAGATTTGAGCGGGGCCATTTGTAGATGCTTTGTTTTTTTATCTTCGCGGACGAGCTTATTCAAACTGTCTAGATGATCAAAACATGCTCATGCTGTTTGTTTTACAAAATAATATCTCGATCGTAAATTTTTATGTAAGTGAAGATTTGACTTAGAAAAAGCTTGCATGCATATATTTCTCATAAATGATTTGTGATTTCAACATCTTGCCCATTGCACGCACAATTATTTATGACGACAAATGCATTGTAACGCACGAACTCAAATCCGAGGGTGTGAGCGGATGAGAAGCGTCATGGAGTCATGTGCAACAATGTGCAAACTATGGGTTTACAAAAAGTTATGGAAGAAAAAATATTTTTTTAAAAGATTTTATAATGTTTTTACCGTATAACTTTTAATATGTTATTGTATGTTTTATTCTGAATAATTTGACTATAAGAAATTAAATTTCACCGATTTGTTTTTCCTACACAAACTTTTGAGATCTAAGTCAATTGAGATTTTTCTGGAAATTATAATAGTGATATAAAAGTTTCAAAATGTTCAAGTGAATATCCCTATGAAGTTGGAATTTGAACATAAAAAGTTTAGTGAGTATAATTAAACGAGCAACGCGGCTCCTTATTGGTAATTCTGACAATTCATATATTATCCAAGTATTGCATTAAAATCATAGTTAATTATTGTTGTATTTGCATTTAACTACCTATAACATGACATTGGAAGAGTTCTGATATGTGAAAAATACACTCTCTATTATAATATAAGGGTCTATATGTTCTATTATGGCCTCATTTACTTAATGTGAATGTGGGCGGGATTCTAACCCTATTTGCTAAAAGCACGCGTAGGAGGTTATGTGGTACTATTTTGTTCTAATTATGATTCCACTTACTATATGCAGGTGTGGGAGGTTAAAGGAAGGTATAAGTGGTAGTGGAATTATAAACATGCACGATACATGTGTATTGTAATCATGCATTACATACATTAATAATTTAAAGAATCAAGGTATATGTGATATTCTGAATTGAATATTAGCAAATTTTGAATTTCTATATGAACCCTGATGAAATGTGAAAGTCAAGTGCAAGTGAACATCTGATCACAAGTGTTCTGTAATACATCTGAAATTTCAAGTGGCTTGAAAAGTGAGAACTCTAAAATCAAGTATACACTGAACCCCATAAAATTATGTTTTACTAAAATTTTGTTCATTCTTAATAAGTCCCTGTATTTTTATTAAATTTTTTTTTAATATTTTATTAGACATTGGTATCTATGATGGGCTAGGAAGGAAGACCATTGAGCTGGTTGTGCCCATTATGTTAATCTTCTGGTGTTTCAATTAAGAAAATAAATTTTCCTATCACAAAGAAAGTGTGAATTAGATCTACCACATGAAACTAGTATATTAGCTTACAAATCAGTTGACACTCTAATGGAAGAAGGTTTGAAGCTATGTTGAGCAAGCCAAGTACTAGTAACCAGTGGGAGATAATGGAGACTTGTTGAAAGACTAATGTACTTAGCTCTTCCAAGATCAAATCTTGCCCATGCTATGAGTATACCTAGTTAGTTCATGTATAGTCCTAGAAAGCAACATATGAATATAGTCATATGCATTTTGAGTATCTTAAATCTGCCCCAGAGAAAGAAATTCTATTGAATTAAATTATAAATGAATAAAATATCGAGGTATATACAGATGTTGATTAGGCAGGACCAATTGATGACATGAGATCAATATCAATATACTATACTTTTGTATGTGGGAACTTAGTTACAAGGAAAAGCCAGAAACAGAGTATGGAGGAATGATCTTAGGAATTTTTGAAGTATTGTGGCTAAAATTTCTCTTACCAAACCTAGCCATTCCCAAAAGCAACCAATCCAACTATGATGTGATAGTAACGCAAGTGGTATAGTTCATAATTAGTTCAGCATGATTGTACAAAGCACGTCGAGGCAGATATATTCTTCTTTAAAGAGAAACTGGATGATAAGGTTGCAAAGCTACCAAGGATTCAGTCAGAAATTTTAGTAGTAGATGTTCTTAACAAAGGTGTATTCAATCAGGTACTCTCAAACTTTTTAGACAAGTTAGGTGTGTGTGAAATCTATGCACCAACTTGAGAGGGAGTGTTAAGATTATCAACCTCAAAATATTTTTCTACCTTTGTAATTCATCTCCTCCAATTATATTAATTGTAGGATGACTAAACTTCAGTTTTAAATATCATTAAAAACATAAGAGGAACTCGCAAAATACTTTCTCCTAAAATGAATTGGATTCTGAAAATGGCTACTTACAGAGAGGATTCACAGAAGATGAGAGAGAGTTGGTCAGGAGAAACAGCTACACCATTAGCAAAATAGAGATCACGTGCAAGCACTGCTGTTTGATTATTTGATGGATCAAAGCTAATCAACCGTCCATTAGGCCTTCCTTCAAGAAATTCCAAAACATGGTCCTCTATGTCATACTTATGTGATGCGTCAGTGAAGTAAATCAAGCCGTCCGATGAAACATCAACGCCGTCTGTCAATTTAAATTTTAGACCTTCAGCCTCATCTGTTAGCAAGTTTACTTCCCCATCTTCATTCACTTTCAAGAGTCCCTGCCATTTGCCATAGAAGGCAACATGCAAATTAAAGTTCCTCAACATGTTAAAAATCCTGTGCTTCTTATAATCCACAAACTACTAATCTTTATGTGTGTAAACGTTAAGCTCTTATACTGCCCTAAATATTATGGCATAGGAAGATTTTTTTTTTCTACTGTGAGAAATCCAAACAACGTTAAGTGTATCTCATTCACATTTACTAAAGAACAGAAGTGCAGCTTAAAAAGAGCAAAGCTCTTGCTCCCCTAAAGATGAAAAATTTATTACGTGCGCGTTCGGATGCTAATCAGGAGTCGCCACATCACCCAATGCACAATGCATTGCGTGATGTGGTGGCCCCTGATTGGCCTCCGGAATAATCTCTCCCAAAGATTAAAGAGCTAAGCTTTTTTTTTTGGGGGGGGGGAGTCAAATCAGTTGTGCCCAAACTTTAATTGGATCATGATGTATATCCAGCCTTTAACAGCCTACATATTATTGTTATAATTAAATTAATTAAATTTTAATAATACTTTAAATGGTTGCCTATAAAATGAATTAAACAAATAAAAAGGGAGTTGCGCCCCTCAAAATTGTAATATAATTAAAATGAGAATTTAATAATCAGAAAAGTACATTTTATTTATACATAATTTTATCTTAAAAGCTTATAAATATTTTCTTTAATGAAAAAAATTATGCCACATATATCAAATGTCCAGAAAGCATGAGCTTTAAAGATTTTTATATTTATAGTAATCTTTTTTACCAGCAGGGTGAGTACTCGAATTAAAAATAATAATAAATAAATATAATTCTTGAAGTTTATTCTGTTACATTAAAATATTTTTTAATCAAAGTATTTTAAGTCAATTTTTTCAAAAAGCCAAAAGAGAAGCTGGAAGTATTTAAAAAAAGACAACATAAAATAAATATAAAATATAAAAGACAAAAATTGTTTCAAAAGCATCCGTACATATTTTATTACTTCATATAATTTTTTTATAAAATAATATATCAGAATATTTTTATAAGCTTCAAAATTAATATTATATATGGTATGTCAAGACTCAAATGCAAAATAAATTTACAGATTTTAAAGCACATTAAAAAATATTTTATATCAAAATATTCTGACATATCTCTTAAAAAAAAATTAAAACTATTTTTTTTAATCACAGAAATTGAATTGATCTTAAGATTTTCCAAAAGAAAATGACCTTGTAAGCTTCGGCAACCACAATGCTTCCATCTGGCGAGAGAGCAACACCAAGCGGCCGTCCGCCGACGTAAGCCCAGTCTTCAACGCCCTTTTCCGCCGGCCGGAATCTCCTGATCCACCCATCATTGCAACCGGTGTAAATAAACCCCTCTTTCGCATCATAGGCCAAATCCTCGGGCCCCGGCAACAGGCCATCGCCTAAGCGTTCGCTCTCTTTTCCGAGCACCGCCCGGTGATTTTTGTAAACTGCCGCGATCTCCGGTGAGTCGAAGCCTGCCGGAAAGGGCACTGGATCGAAGTCACCAAGTTGGGCGGCGAGAAGAAAAGCTACTAGAAGGGGGGTCAGGATCAAGAGGAGTAGGCGGAGGGCGAGACGGACACGTGGACTGCGGCGACCGGCGGACTGGTTTGGCTTAGCCATGCGTAAGCGAGTAGGAATAGGAATTGGATTGAGGACAAGAAAGGATAGAGTATGTTTTATTTGAAGTCAACGAGTTGGGCGGCGGGGAAGAAAAGCTACTAGAAGGGGGGTCGGGACTAAGAGGAGTAGGCGGAGGGCGAGACGGCCACGTGGACCGCTGTGACCGGAGTGGTTTGGCTTAGCCATGGGTAAGCGAGTAGGATTAAGGAGTCCGAGAAAGGATAGAGTATGTTTTATTTGAACATACAACAAACTATAGTGAAAGCTGGGAGAAATTATTGACTCCTGACGTAGGGACTTACTCCAATTAAATTTAGACACGTGGATTTCATAAGACCCCTTGATTCGACTCAGCCCACTTATAAGAATTTTGGAATCCCGGAAAAATTATTAGGTGCGGAGTGCAGACGGGGACACAGACACAGGGTACCAAGCGGTACCCAGCGGTACCGAACGGTACCTAGCTGGATTTTATACTAGTGTGCGGACGGTTCTTCCCGTCTGCATTCCGCACCTAATAATCTCTCGGAATCCCGGCAGCCCACTTATTTGTTTATGTTAAAAAAAAAATCTCATAAAAGCTCTCAAATATTTAGTGTTTTTGCATAATAAAATTTTTGGTATCTATTGACAAAGAAAAAATGAGGAAGAGCCAATAAAGATGAATATTAGTTTGGAGGAGGACGTTGTGTTTTTCAAGCAGATGATATGTCCATAAGATGTGGAATTCGAAGGGAGGTATGTAAATGTCTATGAAGAAAAAGACTTGAGGTTGAAAAAAGCCAGAGGGGTCCAAGGGGGCAACGCCCCTAGCTGGGTTTAACTGGTCATGTCGCAGGGTCAAGGGGCAGGGCCCGTGAAACAAATTTTGATTATAAGAGTAATTTTTAAGTTTCGTTTGTTTTTATAGTTTGTAAGTCGTTTGTACTCTGTGATTTGCAGATCATTTGTCTTTTGAAGATTGTAATAAAAGCGCAAGGTTGACATGCCCTGACGGGAAAATGCATACTTATGCAAATCAATTATGTAAAATTTTCAATGATATTTTTATTCATTTTAAAGATTTCATAGCTTTTTCACAGATGTGTATTACGGAAAGTATGTTGATTTTTTTTAACTATGTATTGTTGACGCGTACTGTTGTGTATTATTGATTTGTATTGCTATATACTACTGTGTACTGCTGTGTATTATTGTGAATTATTGTTGTGTACTACTGTACATTGCTGTGTATTGCTATTATATACTGCTATTTACTGCTATGTATTATAGTGTACTAATATGTTTACAGTGTATTGTTGATATGTACTGCATATGAAAAACATCAGCTGCCCAAAATAATTGTATCTAACATCGATCTGCATCATTATTATTCTTTAAATGAATAGATTGAGTTGCATAACCCATTATGTACATGCAAATAAAATCTTTAAGGCTTAATAAGCAATGCAGAAAGTTGTATGATGAAACATTGAATGTGGAGAATGGGTGCTTTTAGATTAATTGAATAAAAAAAAGTGATGTTATTTATTTTGTATTTCTTATTTGAACAATTATCTTCTCATGCCTCTTTTGTACCACATAGCTTTGTAAAATATCTTTCAGAAATTGTTCTAGGAATCATATGTCAAATTCATGTGAAAAATAAATCACTATACACAACAACAATACATAGATGTATATAGTAGTACACAACAATACACAATAATACATAGCAGTACAATGTGTTACACAGTAGTACATAGCGATATACAATAGTATATAACAATACACAACAATGAATACATAAACGAATGATAAAAAATATATAATAATTACATCTAAGAGAATAAATGAACGTAAAAAATTATAATTTTACATATTTGATTTATAGAAGCACGCGTTTTTGCGGCATTCGGCATATACATTTTTTAAGAATACATTCTAAATGAATGTGTGTGAAACATCGCAAGAAAATACATAAACAATTGATGCAAAGTTTATAAATTCCTCGTTGAAGTATTTGGGCTTGTTTGAGAACATGATATGCCGTGAAGGTGAATACAGTTCTATGGTATTTGCCTTTACGATAGATTTCTCTATTGAAAAACTAAGCTCAACAAAACTTATATTGTCTTATAATATACATTGAAAAGAAATTATTAGGTAAATAAAAAGCACCTTAAGCATAAGCTTTTTCTTCTTTTCCAATGGCTTTAAAGTCCAAACCAATCTCCATCTTCATTGCCTATTTCTCATTTTTTTCTCAACAGGCACCAAAAGTTTTATTCCACAAAAATCCTAAATATATATTAAGAGCTTTTGTGATTTCAAAAATTTCATAGCTGGGTTGGGTCACATCATCAGGTCTTAAGAAATTCATGTGTCTTAATTTAATTAGAGTCAAAATGTAAAGCTACGTCCGGAGTCCACAAAGAATAATCTCCAGAAAGAAGGGGACTATAACTTGCAGTGTCTATAAAAAAAAGGTAAGATTATTCTAATTAAATATTTGATCTAGCTTTCAAAATTTTGAATATATGTTAAAATGGGAATAGCATAAATTATTTATATATTCCATTCATATTAAATTATATTCAATAATTTAAACTTCATCTAATTATTTATGATCAAGATATCCTCATCTAAAATTTATTGAAATAATATTTTATAGTATATAATTAGTTTCATCACATAAAATGAAAGAGCTCTATTGTTTTTTATAGCTCTCACTGTTGATAAACATCTCTAGCAGTCATTGTTATTGCCTTCAATTTTTTGTCAAGATCTAACACTATTGTTGGGTTTATAATTGTATGTGTGGACATCTAAATTATGTAATCCTTAATTTCAATGGGATTCAATCACTTGTTCTCAATTATAAATAATCACATATTCTTCAATCGTGAGAAAATGATGGATATTGTATATCTAATTTTACATATTTATTGCAACTAAGTAACGCCCATGGTTTTTAACCTTTTAAGATTTTCTATGCAAAAAAATTTAAGTTCCTCTAATTTGTGCACGCTTAATTTTTGTACAATGCTGATACACTAAACTCTAACTTCAATGTCCACAATTTTACAACACGTAGCATCTATATTAATTGGACTTTTTTAAGGGCTATTTAATTTGTTGAAAAGGGGTTAAAGAATTAAATAAATGCAATATAAAAAGAATGCAATATATTAAAAATAATTTTGTGTCATTTAGATGAGTATAAATAAATGCATGTTAATTGTTATTTTTTTATTTAGCTTAAAATAAATTGAATGTAATGTAAAGCTTAATGATGGTGGCCGATCGTTGGCAATAGTGGTGACTGTGGTAGTGGCCGATGGAGGCAAGTGATGGTAGGAGATACATGACTGTAAGGGGCAGTGGCGGTTAGTAACAACCGAAAATCTATATTGTATTTGAAAATTGACTAAGTGGATGTTAGTTTGCTAAAAAAGAAATGTAATTTAAAATGAATACTTTGGAGTTATTTGTATGTGTATAAAGTTAATACAGGTGAATGTTTTTTTTTTTTATTTGTTTTGAACAATAGTGAATATAATATAAGCTTCAAAGATGGTGGCCGGTGAGTGGAGCCTGAATTAGGAGTGTAAAGTAAAACAAATGCATGTATTTACTAAATTTGGTTGTTTGTTTAATTTTGAGTGGAATAAATGAAAATCCTCCGAAGAATTAGGGGTGTATTACGGACACTGTTTTACGCGAATTACAAACCCGCTCATATCGAGCGGGTTCTAAATTCGCTCGACGAAAATTCATTCTCCTCCCTGAAGCCGCTTTGCCATTCTAGGAAACGAGATCCGCCGTCAATAGAAACGACGAGTACGACGGCGTAGCGGTGTCGGCTGAAAGCCGCGGTATCCAAGTCCTATCTTCCATCCCTCCTCGCCACCGGAGTAGAGACGACTCATCCAACACCACCGCTGCAGATTCACCGACGTAAGAAAACCAAGTTGGGTCCGGCCGCTGCCTCCTCTTCCTCACCTTCACCCCTCTTTATAATGAAAATAGAACTATAGAAGGAGTCGAGAGATTGGTGTTCTCTCTTTCTTTCTCTCTATCTCTCAGTGCTTGCATGAGAAGCCGTCACAGCCAGGGGAGATCAGAAGTTTTCTGTGGAGTTTGGGAGCAGTGGAGTTGGTGAACTCAGGAAGAATCGGATAGGAAGGCTCTATCGGAGGTTGAAAGCGATGGGAAGGCTGGATTTGAGGTCTGAACTAAAGCAGGTGGAATCGGCTTGGGATTTATGGCAGGGAGAAGAAGAAATCTAAGAAATGACGGGAGCAGGCTAGGAGGAAGAAGTAATTCGACTCTGCTTGCTGGCGTTGAATGAGCGAGGAGAAGTTGAATCCCAAGCTCGGTTGTTTAGAGCTCATATATGTAGCCGAAGAAGTGGGACAAAGAATTTCATTTGATCTCCTCTTAACGCAAGTAGAGGCAGATAGATAAATTATTTGATGCAAGTGAATTAGTTAATGATCTAATTGAAATCACTGAGAGCAAATAATTAGAAGAAAATCAATACACAAAAACATGTAGAGTTTTTATTCAGGTCCGCCTCATTGTGTCTACTTCTTGTTTCTGTACTTTAGTTTCCACTATGATGAAGATGGTGAAGTTTTTGCTGGAGATATGCACAGTGTAATGCATTCTCTACATTTTTTTTAAGTCTATTGTGTTGAAACTCTAATAATGACACCACCTTTTTATAATGAAAATAGAAGGCAACTGAAATTTATATGTGAAATCCCTAAAAATATCCTTAATGAAACAATTTGTGAATATTGTATACATTTTTTTGGGTCATCTCCCACAAGCCCTTTGAATGGGTCTTCCCTCTCCCTTGCCATCCCTCGCCGCATTCATACTTTGAGTTTGGTCTGTGTATTATTTCTATTTAGGACTTTTTCTATAAGGAATTAATTTGGTTCAACAACTCAGCAAATAGCTTAGCCATTAAAGCCATAATATTAATCATTACATTATATTTTGTTTTATTTTGAAGCATTTCCGTTTATCACTTATTTATTCCATTTATGTCAGAGATATTGAAATAGCTTAATTGATTGAAGTAAATTTTACCTTAATTCGATTTTGGTTTAAATAAATTAAATTATATAAAAAAAATTATAACATCAAATAATACTAATTATTATAAATACATTGTTTTTATAAATATACTTATT